TTTTGGAGAAAAGCAAGTCAACAGAGCTAGAGAAAGGTTCATTACTAGGCTGCCCTGTTTTGAGATCCAGCAGAGGAAGGACAGTTGATTCTACATCATTTTCAGAACATAATATTCCTATGGAAGATTTGAAATCAATATTTAGTAAAATGGGACAGGACAGATTCTATTTTGGACCTGAATAGACTATTAAGAGCATCTCTTGAAAATGGCTCTTGTTCATTACCACTGTGTTTTGTGTGGGATTTTATCATCTAACCAATTTCCCTTAACGATCACCATGTAGAAGAATATTTTTCTGGTAAAAAGGGTGCTTTTGCACTCAGAGAAGCCTACAATCAGTGTGTCATTTGGGCCTGAACATAAATAAATATGTTTGTAAAGAGCACCACAGGGACGGAATTGGAATCACTGCCCTTCAAGATACATTTCCATAGCACTGTTTCAGTTTTTCTAAACAGGCTCTGTCAGATGGGGTACTGGATCTGCTGGCTTAATTCAATGTTGTTTCCCACAGCAGCAATCCTGCCTTAACTGTGCACTCATGCCTTCTTGGTTTTTACACTTTTTCTCACTCTCATACCCACCCACAAAATATTCACTTGTTTCTTTGTTCCTTCATTTTAAAATTGATAAGAATTAACTTATTCTCCTATTTGTTCCTCTCTTTCTGCAGAGGGAGAACCGCAGGCTCCAGGAAGCGAGCATGCGGCTGGAACAGGAGAATGATGACCTTGCCCATGAACTTGTAACAAGCAAAATAGCCCTCCGAAATGACTTGGACCAGGTAACACAGGCACTGATTTGTAGCCAGGCCTGAGCCTGAACTCCTAATGTTAGGTGGTGGGGAGGACAATGGCAGTATTTTGCATTCACAATTGAATGAGTGCAAAACTGAAGGCATTATTATTAGTGTCTTTCTTTATCTGCTCCCATGAGATGCCTAGCTACCTGATCTGTAACTGCAGTCAAGAAGCTAAGTGTCTAATGGATGCAGTTGCAGGCACAAATATTGGCACCAGTGGACACCAAATTACCTGTGCTACTGCAGTCTGTTTTGGAAAATATAGACCTTAATCTCTAATGCAAATATCAGAATATGGCTACTAACTTGAAAAATTTATGCCATGCTCTCCAGAATTTTAAATTGCTACAATGTCATCCAGTATGTCTCTCACCTCACACATTCCTCTACTCTTCCAAAACCATCTAATCCCATCTCCAGTTACCAAGGTAGCAGACAGCACTCCCAAGAAAGCTATGTGGAGCTAGCACCAAAAGTTGAGATGTGTAGTATTTCCATCAGTAAAATGCTTCCTACAAAACCTAACCTGTGGCACAGAGGACAAGTGCTGGGGGAGCTGTTCACATGATTAGGTTGACTTTGGGAAGGTTATACACAACTGGGGTGTTGTCTTATCTCTTTGCAATAATGCAGTGCGCTTCAGAATGTATTCTGCTACATTCTTTAGAGGTGAACTGTTAGTAATCAACAATGTATTAAATAATAAACAGGACAGATTCTGCACTCTTACTTCAGTGAGTAGCATCTTACTCAAACTGAAGCCAGTAGGCACTGTTGTGGGGTAAGGTGCTCCGTGGTATGAGTAAGGGTATCTGAATTGGACTGTGCTTTGACTGTATACAATTCCCAACTTACATAAAGAAATACAGTCCATGCTACAACCCTGCAGTTACTCTACCTCTTAAAAGTCAGTGTCTGCTGTTTTGGGCTCAGTTATGACTAAGAGCCTGAGCCATACTGATGGGGGAGATGCACAAGAGGCAAAGGATACGGGCAATGTCTCTGGAGGCTAGGAGTAGATGATAAAACCTTGTGGGATGCTAGGAGATGTATCCTCCCCAGCAGCAGTTGAAATACATGCCAAACTGTAACACTTGCTAGCTCCACAGCTGCTTATTTTCTGCCCATTCCTGCTCTCATATTTTAGCTGTCTTCTATGTAGGAGATTGAAGTGGCTTTTTTACCTGTAGTTCACCCCTGCTGTGGCAATAGCTTTGTCTCTCTATGTGCAACTGTTGTCTTCCTTCCCCACAAGAGTTAATGACACTTATGATGGTGCTAGGCAGATGAGAACCTGGGACTGAGCAAACAGAAAAAGGAACTGATATTCAGATAGTTCTTTCAGGTGTTTATAATGGTTATGTTGAACCATGTATTATGTTGCTGGTCTAGGGTCTAAAACAGGTTAGTTTGTTTTTTCTTTTTAAAGTTGGCAGGACCCCTTTACTATCCCCTTACCTCCTTTGTGCCATCAGATGCTAGCATCACTATCCCCTTCCTTTCACTATTCTCTTGTTTGTGCCCTCTGTCATACTGCCACTTTGTGTGGAATGACCTACTGATCCTCCCACCTTCCTCTTATTCATATCCTTGCTAAAGACTTGCTTCATCTCTTTTGCCCTCCTCCCCGAACACTAACTCCTCTCACTGTGTTTGGGGGGAGGGGAGGAAACCTTGTGGGTGTCCCCACTGCATCTTGGTTATTCTTGTAGATGTAAGCTTCTAACGGTAGGGACATTCTTCTTGTCTCATAGCACCTTGAGTGACATCCTGGCCCTACTGAAGTCACTGGCAAAACTCCCATTGACTTCAGTGGAGCCAGGATTTCACCCATCCTCTGCATTTAACTACTATTAATAACCAGTGGCAGCATGGCAAAGAAGCAAGCTATAGTGCCAGTGATGGTGGGAAAACATGTTGCAGGTCACACAAACAATTTCTGCATTGGGTAATCAATCATTTTGCAGTGCTTTTTCCCATGATTTTGCAGCCAGTGAGTTATTTCTGGCTACAACCACTGCCTGTTCCATCAACTTGCTTATCAAACAGAGTGAGTGCTGCGATGCAATATTAATCTGTGAAATGGAGAAGTTACCTAGCCACTGACTGTACCTAACACTGGCAAAACCTCTTTTTCACTGTAGTCAGCTAAGCTAGCAAGGTACCCCCACCAGATCAAGACATTTCTGGTACTCTTGAATATCTCATCATCATGCCTAGCTCTTCAAATGAGGGATCAAATTCACACATCCTGACCAACATGCATTATCTGGCTTCTCCAGAAAATATTTTTGCAGTGTTTTTACAATGGTAGATAATGCTCTTCTGCGTCTTATATTGACCTGCACTCTAAGTATTGTAATACAAACAATACTTGAAAGTGTAAAGTGCTACACAAACTCTCAACTCTCCTGTGATGTAATATCTTCCCCATTTTACAGCTGTGGTAACCAAAGCACAGAAAGATCAAGCCGCTTGCCCAGGTCACATGGGAGCTTGGTTGAGAACCCAACCCACTATACCATGCTGCCTCCCTTCTAATTCGTAGTCTTCCTTTTATTTACATCAGAGTCACACATACCCTAACATAAGCCAGGAGTCTCACACGTGATCCAGGATCCTTAATTGCTCTTAATATGGCCCAGCACATTTTCTGTTAGAGTATCAAATAGTCGTGTGGCATTTGCACAGCAGCTGAAACATAATGCAATAACCAAGCAAGCAGTTACTAGAAAAAAACGTGTTTCTGCTGCAAAAAGTGAGCGTGGGAGAACATAGGAGGCAGAGTTGCATCAAGTTTTTTTTTTAGCTCATCCCTTCTGATTGTCAGGCTGAAGACAAAGCAGATGTTCTGAACAAGGAGCTTCTCCTGACTAAACAGAAACTAGTGGAGACTGAGGAAGAAAAGCGGAAGCAAGAAGAAGAAACTGCCCAGGTAAGACTTGTTTGAGTGTTCCCACCTAACCAAACACACACACACACCACAAGAATTTGAGGGTCAGTATTAAACAATGGTATCAAATGTTTGTTAGTGCCCCTCAAAATATTCATTCTCTAAGTCAGAGTGAAAATAAAAAATGCACATAAAGAGAAAAAATTAAAGTTCTCTATTTCTGAGCATCTTTTGTGTTCCTACTGGAGCTCTGAGGGTCCCATTTTTCCAACATTTAATCCGGTTTCCCAACATCCTTTTTACTGCCACTATGTAAAACACCCACACCCAAGGAGGCCTAATCAGACCCTCTTCAGAACCTACAAACGTAGCTGGAGGCATGGCTGTTGCATAGAATTTGCCATGCTGAATCAACAAGTTAAAGCTATGAGTTGTTAAGTGCTTCCAGGCTGTAAGCCCAAGAACAGAATGGAAATGATGTTTTTCCCTACTGGGTCTCACCTGATACTGGTTTACAGATTTTATTTTTTTTTTTAAACGTTTAGCTATTTTAAGTCCTGGACAATGACCTACATATAAGTGTGTTTTAATAGCAAAAACCCCTCTCATCATGCTTGAGGATTTCTTTGATAACTGTCTGTAAACAGAAGCTGAAGCAATGAGACTTATTTGGCATCATTGCATTAACAAAAGGTTATCAATCTCCCACCAAAAAAAAAAAATTTCATAGTTCTGTTTCTCTAAATTGGAGAGTCCCATCCTCTCTCCATCTGTCGCTAGAGCTTTACTACCTCTAGCAAGAGAGACCTTCACTTCTGTTGAAAGGTCTCTGTGTGCTTTATGGTGCTGAATGGCAGGATGGGATTTAATGGTATTTTAATGCACTGCCATATAGGTGGTCAGTACTGCGATTCTGAGCCATTTGGGCTGGAGAGGTCATTGTGATGATCCTGGCATGTTCTGCCTTCCTTTTCACTCAGGAGAAAATTATATTTGAGTATGGATCTGGGGAACTCAAACACTAAACAACAATTGGCTGTCTAGTGGGCTCGTTTATATTCAGTCATAATCAAAGATGTTCCCCATACTCTAGAGCAGAATTTCCCAACCAAAGATATACAGTAAATGTCCCTGTTCTTAAATGGCTGTTCATATTGCTGAGAATACAATCATTGACTAAAACAGAGGCTATAACAAGTCTTTTTTTAATACCAGGCTTTATCAAGTAGTGGGAGTTGGTAATGAAGAGCTATAGTGTTGTTACAAATGCAGAGTATGTTCAAGAGTGAAGTCATCACTCACATGTTGGAAAATTCCTCAAAGCACACCTACTAATATGATTTCTCTCCTTGAACTTTCCAGCTGAAGGAAATCTTCAGGAAACAACTAGAGAAGGCGGAATCTGAAATAAAGAAAACCACAGCCATTATTGCGGAATATAAACAAGTAACATTTATCGAGAAATTCCTGTTTCATATAATTATTTGTAAACCATTTTTAACGTCTTTCTACTCCCCATCTCAGGCAAGCTGACTGTTCAGCATTTTCGTATTTGTACTTTTGACCAGGGCATGTCTCATTTCAGGTTTTCTGAGAGCATGAATTGTAGACAGTTATATTCTTTCTGGAGTTGTCCAAGTGGAATCTGCCGTTTTCTGTAGAGAAGAATACCTCCTTATCAAGCCATTCCCAACCCACTACAGTGCAACTGCCTCTTTTGCCCTGCTCCTGGCTAAGGATGTAGGCCAGCTCCCCATGAAATTAGTCAAATCAATCTCAGTGTTAAGGTTGCATCTTGAATACTACCATTTAGACCTTTTTCATCAGCCTTGCTACCACTAATTAATTCATTCTGAGGAAATGACGGTGTATGATTTCGGTGAAGCTATAATAAAATACTGCTGAAATGTACCACAAAAAAAATTTTTTTAATAAACTTTATAAAAGGGATTGTTTTCTCTCTTCCAGATTTGTTCCCAGCTGAGTACCAGGCTGGAGAAACAACAGACAGCAAGTAAGGAGGAACTGGAGGTTGTGAAGGTGAGAATGAGGCCTCTGTATGTGAAGTGTCTAACTCAAATATTCATAGATGCTGGCAGTAAAATACTGAAAGGAATCTGAACTGCAGCCGTATAGTAGCAGCCTTGAGAGCCAGGAAGATGGTCTAAACTACCCTCTCAGATGTTTCACAGGATGGAAACAATTGTAGAGTACATGTCCCTTCACCATGCCGTTGTGGATATCGGGTATGCTGGAGTTTCCAAACTAGAGTGCACAGAATGCTTGTATTTTCCCCTGCAGAAATGTATGTATTTTGCAGGAAGCATGGAAGGATAAGTCTTTATACGTTCTAATAAGCTGAGAAAGGGAAAGCTTTTGGGGTGCATCTCCATTTTGCACAGTGCACACAGGCACAGCCCAAGACAGAGAGAGCAAAGGTTGCTTTGGACTTATGGATTCTGGGCAGACCAGGGAGCTGCTCTTAATTATGGTGGGCTGGCCTGGTCTGCCCTAGACTTTCCATAACCATCCCCCTTCTGTCCTGAACACCAAGGCCTTGTGAGATCTGCATAGAGCTGTCTCTGGTTGTCCTACATAGTCTCCCCACTAGCGGAATTTTCCCCAATAAGGGACTTCACAGCAACGTACATGGAATCCCTCCCTCTGTTTCTGTAGTTCTCAAACTTTCTGAAGTATATAACTGTTGCTATCCAGTGGCAAATGTCTGCCTTGTACTAGGGTTAAATATTTTACTGCCTACTATTTATGAAACATTAAACCAAGGGTTTTACACATGCTTTACAAGTAGTTGGCAGTATAGCAACATACATATCTTCCCTCTCATACCAAAAAAGACATTTCAGAAATGTCAATACCAGCCACTCTACTTACTGTTGTGAAACTGTAATTTTAGAAGAATAAAGACTGACATGCATCTAATTTCTTAAAGCATTTCAGTAAATTTTTTTACTTGTTTACTCTTACTAAGTGGTCTGAGTGCCATGTCAGCAGGATTACATTAGCAGACACTTGCTATTGTTAATGGTGACCAGATATTCAACCCAATATTAACAACAAGAGGGAAGGAATGCAAGCCAAAATAGGGAAAGAAAAGTTTAAAGAATATTTTAGATAAATTAGATGTATTCAGGGCTTGATGAAATTCATTCTAGAGTAGTTAAGGAAATAGCTGAAGCAACCATCTTCAAGAACTTATGGAGGACAGGTGAGGCCCCAGAAGAATGGAGAAAGGCAAACATAATACAGATAATACATAATACAGATCTTAAACTAGGGGAACAAAAAGGACTCAGGGAATTATAGACCAGCCAGCTTAACTTCGATACCTGAAAAGTTCCTGGAACAAATTGTTAGTCAATTTGTAAGCACCTCTTCAAGCCAACCCAGTATGGAACTTGCTGTTGTCAGGTGATCTTGACACTAGGAGCATTCTGTAAGATATCACTATTATATGCCAGTATTAATAGCAAAGTAGTGGCCATTGCATCCAGCATAGAGTGATCGCTTGTGACGAGTAGGGAAAACCTGGGTGGGAGCGGGTTTCTAAGCAATATCCCATGGCTGTATATTTTTTTTGCCAAAAGCCATATTAACCTTAATATTTGATCAAAGGTATTCTTCTTTTTTTAAAGCAGCAAGTTTGAGCCAGAGAAAAAACCCTGCAATCTACTTTGTCAACAAATATGCTAACATTAATGCAGTACTGCAAAAATATCACAAGTCTTGACAACAAGAGGGTAAATGTGACTTCTGAAGTCTAGATGTGTTGAAAAAATGGTGAAAGTATTAGGAATTCTTATCCTGGTGCATGTGCCCATATCTGTTGTTCATGAACTTCTAAAATCATTTGAGGTAACACCACATGTGACACTCACACACTTAGTGGCTTCATTTGCTTTTTGATGGTAATCTAACATAAAAGAGCGGCTCTTCCAGGAAACAGGACATCTGTAACATAGCTAAAAATGGATTCTCTGGCTGTTCCAGGGTAAACTGATGGCTTGCAAACACTGCAGTGAGATTTTCAGTAAGGAAGGAGCATTGAAGCTGCCTGCTATAAGCAGAGAGACCCGGGGAACAGAAAGAGATGATGAGAAGGATGCCCTCAAGAAGCATCTGAGGGAGATGGAGCTGGAACTGGCACAGACCAAACTGCAGCTTGTGGAAGCAAAGTGCAAAATTCAGGTATATGTACAGGTATCTTACTGCAGAAAAGACTGATTGTATTAAGCCTTATCTACTCTATGGGGAATTTAGTTGCAACGTGACTGTCTCCTTGACTTTGGTTCTGCTCTGTAGTGTAGATGATGCTAGAATGCTGCTTTTATGCAGTGACGCTAAGGGCTATGTCTACACTGGTACTTCCACTGGTAAAACTTTTGTCGGTCAGGGAAGACACTCTCCAGCCAACAAAGCTACCGCTGCTCATTGGTGGTGGTTTTATTTTGCCAGCAGGAGAGCTCTGTCCTGCTGGCAAAGAGTGGCTATACAGGAGATCTTACAGAGGTATAACTGTAGAGGCACAGCTGTGCCACTGTAAGGTAAGCCCTGTAGACATAGCCAAATTGAAAGGAGTCTCCTGTTCCTTTCATTCCTGCACCAAAGCTGAATAGAGTCATTCTTGCACTCCCTACAAGACTAGCCCAGCCAAAGGGGGTTAAGACCACTGCAGAAGAATGCATACTGCACCCTCTTAAAGGGTGGCACAATGGCCACATTTAACTTGCATGGTAGGGAGCTCTGGAAAGGGTATGAAACTCAATGCCTCCTGTAGATCTGCTGGGGGTAAATGTAACTGTACATTATTCCCAATCCATGGCAATGACTATAAAACACAATCCAGCCTTTTAATAACATAGTGCTATGTCCAAAAAATAGCTCATTTGTGGCCCTAACTTACCCCAGTCCTGTCTGGCATATGATTGTCTGTTGTCAACCCTTTTGTTCTTGAAGTACCCTCTCCTCTTCTGCTAAGCTTGTGGAGTCGCTCTCACCACAAGTCAAAACATCCATCATGCATAGTACATCCATCATGCATAGTATCATCCCTTGCGGCATCAGTCAGTACCCATGGCAAGGAGTTTCATTGCAAGCAAGGCAGCCCCTCCACTCCTCAGACACTACCATTCCTCTATTGGTTCAGTGGCAGCTCAAGATATGCCCTTCCTTTCATACTATTGTTCTACTTCTAGACTTCTCTACACACAGCTCCCAAGCCATCAAGGCACCATACCATTTGTCTTTTACCCTCCTATAGATTAAATCTTGTTTGCCTACAGTGTGTCTATATGCTCATCTGTACCATTGCTACACCCACACATCACCTCTGAGGGTTTACTTTATGCCAATCTAATTGGACATAGCTGATTTTGTGAATTCCCAGAAAAATGGGATGTTTTTTCACTCTTCCCCTCTGGTCTTCAAAGAAAGAGTTCTAATTTGTAGTAGTATCTTCTGTAGTTCTACTGCCTCTCCCCTCCCCATCCCCTGACTGTAGAAGGAAAGAACTCAGTTAAAGGGAGTGACTTTGAAGATGCATCTCTAATCAATGATTTTCTGATCAACTCTGACTATTCTACTTCCTTAGGAACTGGAGCACCAGAGAGGAACCCTTATGAATGAAATCCAAGCTGCTAAAAACTCTTGGTTTAGCAAAACCCTGAACTCTATCAAAACTGCCACGAGCACACAGCCACCCCAGCTGCCTCCACCATCCCAGCCACCCAAAGAGAGCAGTACATAGTTCCAGCCAGACTCCAGGCACAAGAGCACAAAGAATAAAGCAACTGAAGCCCTGGAGGATTTTCCCAGGGGTCTCTCCTCTTGGGAAAAGGACAAAAGGCAGGAGTGCAGGCACTGAAGTGAAATCCTTCAGTGTCTTTACTCATTCTGGTGTGACCCTTTCCAAAGGGAAGTTATTTAAAAAAATCCAATTTTATGTTGAATACTTATTTCCCACCTGCCTTCCTGAAAGCCACGTTCCAAAACTTTCATCCTTTTACACTTTATTTTATATGCTTAGATGTTAAGATGGATCAAATAATTCAGAACTAAGTGTTTAGTATGTGAACTAATTATAACTACAGCTGTTTTCTTTTTGGGAAAGAAGGAGGGCAGCATAAATCTTGTCAAAGAAAGCACAGTATAATGCCAGGCTCTATACTGCTCCATACTCATGCCATGGGATCATCTCAAGTTTACAATGGTGATTGCATCCTGCAGTGAAGCATTTCCCATTCATTATAAGTCTTAAGTCACAACCAAGATAGTCTTGTGCTCTCTCTGGCATAGCACATGTGTTTATAATGTTCCTTGCAAATATTGTGTGTGTTTGATTCTGGCAATTAGCTTCCTGCACAAATTCAAGGAGCGCAGGTCTTCCAGGCGCTGAGTGGCAGCACTGTTTAACTCTTGTGTGTCACACCTGAACTGGAATTTAAAGCGAAATCTTCTAGTTCCCTTCTTATTCTATGTTTTATTTTCTGAACTGGAGAAATGATTCCCTCCATCAGAACAAAGGGAAGGATATATTCCTTGGGTGAGGTTTGTTTGGGGTTTTTTTGGCCAATAAGTAGATTTGAAACCTTGCTTAGTTTTGACATTCTACTACCCCTGTGCAATAAAAGCTTTTTTTTCCCCCAGGGTAAAGTTGGTGGAAACATTTTCACATGAAACACTGGGCCAAGGTTTAAGGCTTGCACTTGGCACAAAACTGGAAGCATCAAATCAAAATACTCTCTTTGCACAGGAGAAACAAACACCATAGAACAGTTTATTTACTTTTGACACTTTATTAGGGAACCCTAAGTTCCTGTATTTTTTTTAAAAGGACAAAATATTAAAAATGCAAGATAATAGACTTTACTCATGAGGTAAACTTTTCTGATGATTATTCTTGAGTCTGTCTGAAAACACGATTGTCTTGTTTTATATCTCTAAGTTGAAGTGCAAAAGCAGTTGTCTTTTTTTATCATAAATGTTTATAGAAATACTTATTTCATGAAAAATTAAACTATTGCTTAAACTGATGGAAATATTTTTTAATTATATTTAACATGTCTATAAGAAGGTCTCGCAGATAAATATTGTTGCTGGACAAGAGGTTAGTTGTGCATTGTTTCCCCATGTTCCAGGGACATTAGCCCTGTTTTGATTTTAAACTTTAAGTAATGCAATATTTTATCAGCTCTGTACAATAAAGTTTAATGATACTCACATCCTGCTTCATTTTCAAGTACATTTTCAGAAGATTTTTACATATAGTACAAGTTTTAATATTTACCCTATGCCAAATGAGACATTTTGAAGAGCAGTCAGCTGTTTGAAGTAGAAATCAAAATGTAGTCACTATCCGTAGGCAGCAAAAGTCCTGCAATTTGGTGATGTAGGTTCTTTTTTCTAAGAACAGAGCTGAAAAGAGTTAAGTTCCTCTCTTTAGAATGGTTTATAAACTTACATGGAAGAACAGTGTTTTGTCTAGATGTTGTTACAGAGTGGAACCAAAAATAAGAGGGTTCTTCAAATGAAACTATATTTTGGCATGCTTTCCATAATCAGCTTATTGCTATTAGTAATTCCACTGGACAGGAACGCTGGTGTTTTATTCAGTTAAGTATTAATTTCAGCATTGAGGTGTCACTGGAAAGTGAATTAACAAACTTGAACTAAATTATGTAATAAACTGGAGGTGACAATTATATACATTAGGATAATTACCATATTGTAATACTAGGAGTACTGTGCTCACAGCCAACTTTATTACTGGTATCAAACCACCAGTTCTGTCCAAATTTCTCATTTAAATTCCAATCCTTTAATTTCAATCATGCCTAGAGGTTGATTTATATTGTTTTCCAAACAAGGTCTTCAATGCAGTATAAACAGAAAAGTGATTTAAAAATGGCACTTTCTGGCATGTCTCCAGTCATAAAAATGTTTGCTACTTGTTAGCCATGCTGAGCTGTTACAGTTATCGGAGAGGAAATTGGATTCTATTTTACCTTCACGTGATAGCAATAAAATTATCAGTCCAGTGCTGATGACAGAATTTTAACTCCTGATTATGATCCAAGAGGCTTGATTTTTCTAACAGCCCCCAACCCTCCAATCCCAGGTTGAGTGTCTATCACCTCTAATTAGAAGAATGAATAACCTTTAGACTTTAAAAACTGTAAATCTTGTTGGAATCAGTGAAAGAACAAATAAAATAGCACTTTCCTGACTGTAATGACAGTGATATTCAATAACATGGAAAGCTAACAAGACTTTAGGGTTACAAGATAGGAGGTAAAATTCCACTTCCTGGCTGTATATACAAATAACCTACGATTGTCATAAGGATAAAAAAATTGGTTTTAGTTGGCCCTCTCAGTGGTGAAAGACAGAATTAGGTATATGATGGAAATGTGCACCTTCAGGGTTGGCTGACATACTGTATGTGGTAAAGGCTGATGTTTGTACAGATTTTTTTCAATGGGAGACTTCCTGAATTGAAAGTCTCACTGAAGCGAATGTGTATCTGTTCAAACAGCACTGAAACAGTAAACATAACTCAAGTGTGGAAGTAATTATTTTTTTAAATCAATATCAAAATGCATACCCAGTTCCAACAGTTATACTAAAGTTAATTTGCGTCTGTCCATATGTAAGGAGCAAGCGTTATTGGGGATTTTTATTTTTACTTCTATTCAGAACAAGTAATTTTGAAATATGGCCTTAATTTCACAAAGAAACAAGTCTCTGTAAAATATATATTTTGGTGCAGTTATTAATCTTGTGGATACTAAGGCCTCACTGAGGTGCACAATGCAGAAAGAACAAGTATATTTTTCCACTTTATGCACAAGTTTGGGTGAAACACCTAACAGGATAAATAAAAAGTTGGATTAATTATATGGTACATCGATTCACTAATCATATCTTTGTGGATCAAAGTTGAATTTATGTAAAATAGTAGTGCATACTTCATATTACTTAAAAAAAATTGAAAAGTTAATGACTTACCTTCATTCAGATAAATTGCTCAAGGTTCTTATGCTTCAGTCCTCGGTAGAAGGAAAGCACTGAATCATATAGCCAGCTGACACACACATCCCAGCCTCTGCCCTGCTCATTAGATTGTACATCTTCCCATTTGCTATAGCTAAGTTATCTTTAGATAAACAGAAAAAATCTTTTTGTATTATAAGTTGTATGGCAGGACTTTGTTTAGCCATTGAATTTCCTGTTTTATGCTGGCGTATTTTGTTTTGTTCTCTTATTTCATTAAAAAGCTAGTTTGAAGCAAAAAGCAGGTGCGAGGTATCTCGGTTCACTAGAACAAGAAAGGAGAGTCAGGCAGAGCAGAAACTCATCCCTCAATACCAGAGTATATTCGTCATAGCAGACTCCTGTAGTCTGAGAAGAGACAAATACATTACAGCATTAGGTTTTGTTGCAAACACCAGGGGTGAAATCCTGGCCCCAGTGAGACAATGAAAAAACTTCCATTGACTTCAGTGGGGCCAGGATTTCACCAGTGGAGTTGAGTTTGTGATATGCTGACTAGCCTTGGTGGTAGTGTTCTTTAGCAGAGTAGAAAAACTGCCCATACTGGCTGCTACAGTATCATGATTTACAAATTAAGTATGAAAAAATCTTGCTTTCCTGATGCCACAACCTCTCAGTAGGAAGTGTGCATGGCTGAATTCTGACATCCCTGTACTGAACATGTGAACTTTGTTATTTTTCATCTCCTAGAGAAGCCTTTAGTACATGTTTTACATTTGAACATCTAGGCAGTGGTTTTAACTAAGAGCTCAATGATAGTTCTCTTGAACCCATAGCAGCCATCAGTGGATGATGCCTTGTAAAGTAGTCAGTTGTTCAATAGCTGTCTTTACTGGACATATAGCGCTACATATGCCCACAGATGTAAAGCAGCACCATACATTTTCCTCTTAAAATATAGTCTGGTTATTATACTAACCATCCCATGGAGAGGTGTCCCACAAAAAAAAGCATTTCTATCCAAATAGTGCTAAATGCTCACACACTACATCCCTTTCATTCTGAACTATTCAGTGTAGAAAATGTCGCAAGTTGACTTCTGAACACCCCCTAATGCACCCTCTAAAACTAGGCTATGAGACATAGAAAGCATCCAGTTTTAAAGAGATTCATAATGAGAACTAAAAACTGGAGCATATAAGGGCACTACACACAAGCACTAATTACAACCCTACCTTTCCTAGTTCAGAGGCCTGCAAAACAACATTTCATGACCATTACTCACTTTGTACAGGTTTGCCCTTCAGGAATACAGAGCTGTCATTAATTTCTTCCAGACTCCCAGTGGTTTGCTATTGAATGTATTTCATGCCTATTTTTACCTGGAAAAAATATGGCTCAGAAATAAGAACTTTACTTCCTTCCCTTATTTTCTTATTCAGTGAGACTTGTTTTTATTTAACCTGTAAAGGAGCATATATGCATCTTTGGAAACTATATATTATATATAGAATAATATATAGGAAACTGAATTAGGAGATAAAATACATCAGAAGAGTCTAGTTCACAAATTTCATTCATGTGATTTGATAACCACCAGAATCCTGGGCTGTACTAATTTCCTTTCAGTTTCTCTTATTTTTGTATTTTACATAATACATTGAGCCTACTACCAATTCATATAAACAAGAGAAAATGTTATTGGCATCTTTTCCTGATTCCCTCCTTTCAACAAACCCCCAGAGGAAATGAATGTGGATGAGGTTTTCAAGAATTGTATTGGGAGCCATTTCACTTAGAACCATCACCTGCTCTTAGAAAGCCCAACTCTGGAGAGAATCTTTTTTATAGTTTAAGCAGAAAATACAATGATGTCAAGTGCAAGCAAAGATGGGCCCTATCCAGATCCCTAGTTTTCCAAAATTTAAAGGGGGTTCAGTTCCAAGGGTTTTATTCAGCCTCTTGAAATAGGGACCAGCTGCAAAGCTTGGATCCAGCGTGAAGGTTCCCCACCTGTTGGGTTATTCAGCTGCACAGTCTTGATTTGGGTCCATCTCTAATTATAAAAGAAATACACTGCTAGTGGACTAGGGAGCTACAGGAGCTTTGTTGTGTTAGACATAGGATTTGGGAACATTTCTATACTGCCAATCAGTCGCTGTATAACCAATCCATGTATCATATAAAAATGTAAAGGTAACACTTGTTATTAAAAGTGTAAATTAATGTACATCATCAGAAGAAATGTTTACTTTTTTAATTGTTAGACATGTTTAGATCAGTATCTTGTTTTCATTGTGTGAATGATATCTTGTAAAATAAACAGAAATGCAAACAAGATGGGAATGAGATGCTTGTTTTCATAAACTGCTTACGTTACTGATACCCTCAATGTCTGCTCAAGAAATGGTTTGACCTCTATTTACAATAATAAATCTTATTAACACTGGCACTTTTGATATGCTTACAGCAACTCAGTTTGGTCATTCTCAGGCATGCAGCATTAGTGTATCAAGTCCTATCACTAAGGTTAAGATTTTGTCAGTTATTTTTAGTAAAAGTCAGGGACAGGTCACGGGCAATAAACAAAAATTCATGGAAGCCTGTCCCTGACTTTTACTAAAAATAACTGGGGAAGAGGGGGAAGGGGCACTGACCGCCACAGGGGACTGAAGCTCAAGTCCTGGGGGGAAGTAGGGGAAGGAACTGACAGCCCAAGCAGGGGGGGACAGAAGCCAAAGAAGTCACAGAGGTTTGTTAAAATGTCACAGAATCCATGACCTCTGTGACTAAATTGTATCTTTACCTATCACTGAATTCACACTTAGAAAGTCCGCTAATGGATGTTATATATTTAAGCAACTAATTTCAAGGGTCTGGGGCAGGGGTAGTCAATAGGCAGACTTGTGGGTCAAATTCAGACCACCAGACACTTTTCAGTGGACCCCAAAATCTTTTTTTACTTAGCATGATCATCATTATTTTCTCTGGAGTCTAGATCTTGACTATACATTGACCAAGAAATTTGGACCTTCACAAAAAATAATTAACTACCCCTAGATGGGGTAATGCAGTACCACACCTGTATCTGTGGTCCACAGCTCAATTGCTGGCAGTCTGTGGAGAACTGATACGTCACATGGCTCCTCTTTTCCAATTGTTTCTAGAGATGCCTGGGGTCTTCAGACCCTGCAGGCTTACGAAAGCTGCTGGAAGTAAAGGTGCCAGTCTGTCTATATACAGTATACACTACTCCTAGAGGCTGATGCTACACAAGGAGTGAGGTTACAGGGTCTTGCATATCTCCCTAGCAGAATACACAGTGGAAGCAGGCAATGGGGCAGGCAAGCACTATACCCAAGAAGAGAAGGAGAAGGTGGCTGTGCAGTAAGGCCAGGGGAGCAGACTAGAAAAGGGACAGAAGCTTGTGCTGGGGGAGAGGAGCAGAGAAAAAGAGGGCCAGACAGCTGGGAAGCGCGAGGGGGCAGGAGGGAAGGGAAGACACGGAATAAAAGTAAGGGTATGTCTACACTACAAAATTAGGTCGAATTTATAGAAGTCAGTTTTTTAGAAATCGTTTTTATATATTCGAGTGTGTGTGTCCCCACAGAAAATGCTCTAAGTGCATTAACTCGGCGGAGTGCTTCCACAATACCGAGGCAAGCGTCGACTTCCGGAGTGTTGCACTGTGGGTAGCTATCCCACAGTTCCCGCAGTCTCCGGAAATGAGATTCAAAAGTTCGCGGTTCTTTTCCTGTCTACCTGGCCAGTGCATCTGAGTTGAGAGTGCTGTCCAGAGCAGTCACAATGGAGCACTCTGGGATAGCTCCCGGAGGCCAATACCGTTGAATTGTGGCCACAGTACTCCAAATTTGACCCGGCAAGGCCGATTTAAGCGCTAATCCACTTGTCAGGGGTAGAGTAAGGAAATCGATTTTAAGAGCCCTTTAAGTCAAAAAAAAGGGCTTCATCGTGTGGACGGGTGCAGGTTTACATCGATTTAACGCTGCTAAATTCGACCTAAAGTCCTAGTGTAGACCAGGGCTAAGATTACATTTTTGCAAAAAAAAGCAAGGAATACCCTTTTCTAACAGAAGAATGGCCATACTGGGTCAGAGCACAAGTCCATCTAGCCCAGTGGTTCCCAAACTTTAACAACCTGTGAACCCCTTTCACTAAAATGTCAAGTCTCACGAACCCCCTCCTAAAAATTAATATGTCCAGGGATTTTCTTCTTTACCTGAGTATAAATTATAAAAGCAGTGATCTTGGAAATACAAAATTTGTTTTTATGACATGCTTATTATACACTATTATTATCATTACAGTATTAATACATTATGAAAATGGCAACACACTTCCAAGATCTCACTTTCATAGCTTGTATCACTTTGAATAAGCCTGTTATAAGACAAGGCTCCTATGTTTCATCAAGGAGTATCAGATGTGAAACAGCATGAAGGTATTTAAGAAGCCAATTCAAAGAGTTCTTCCTACACAAGCACTCAGGTCTTGAGCAGTCCAGGCAAACAACGCACGTTGCAACAAAGCTTAAACTTGTTCTTCATAATAATTTAAAAAACAATATTAGCTGCCTATTTAATTTTAAAAACAGCAAAAAATATCCACCTCCCTTTCCATTTCTTATGAGTCTTGAAGTTTAAATCTCCTCAGTGTGATAGATATGCTTGCTTTGATCTGCTTAGCTCTTGGAAGTCCAGGGGCTCTGGGCTGCTGGCCACGTGCTGCCCGGAGTCCCTAGAGACAGCTCTGTCCGCCATTAGGGAATTTTTTCCCCCAAGAACCTCCTGTAACATTTCGTGAACCCCAGTTTGGGAACCACTGATCTAGCCCAATATCCTGTCTTCCAACAGTAGCCAATACCCGGTGCTTCAGAGGGAATAAACAGAACAGGTAATCATCAAGTGATCCATCCCCTGTTACCCATTCCCAGCTTCTGGCAAACAGAGACTAAGGACACTATCCCTGCCCATCCTGGCTAATAGCCACTGATATATCCTCCATGAATTTATCAAGTTCTTTTTTGAATCCCATTATTGTCTTCACTTTCACAACATCCTCTGGGAAAGAGTTCCACAGGTTAACTGTGCACTGTGTGAAGAAATACTTCCTTTTGTTTGTTTTAAACCTGCTGCCTATTAATTTCATTGGGTGACCCCTAGTTCTTGTGTTATGAGGAGTAAATAACACTTCCTTATTTACTTTCTCCACACCAGTCATAATTTCATAGAACTCTATCATATCTCCCCTTTGTAGTCTCTTTTCCAAGGTGAAAAGTGTGTTCTATTAATCTCTCTTTATATGGAAGCTGTTCCATACCCCTAATAATTTTTGTTGCCCTTTTCTGCATCTCTTCCACTTCCAATATATCTTTTTTGAGATGGGCAACCACATCTGCACATAGTAGTCAAGATTCGGGCATACCATGGATTTATATACAGGGAATATATTTTCTGTCTTATCTATCCCTAATGATTCACAACATTCTGTTTGCTTTTTTGACTGCCACTGCACATTGAGTGGATGTTTTCAGAAAACTATCCACAATGACTCCTAGATCTCTTTCTTGAACGGTAACAGCTAATTTGGACCCCATCATTTTATATGTACAGTTGGGATTATGTTTTCCAATGTGCATTTCTTTGCATTTAGCAACATTTAATTTCATCTGCCATTTTGTTGCCCAGACACCCAGTTTTATGAGATCCCTTTGTAACTTTTCACAGTCTGCTTTGGACTTAACTATCTTGAGTAGTTTTGTTTCATCTGCAAATTTTGCCACCTCACTGTTTATCCCTTTTTCCAGATCATTTATGAATATGTTGAACAGTACTGGTCCCAATACAGACCTCTGGGATGCACACCACTATATTTACCTCTCTCTGTTCTAAAAACTGGCCATTATTCCTACCGTTTCCTATCTTTTAACCAGTTACTGACCCATGAGAGGACCTTCCTTCTTATCCCGCTAAACTTCTTACTTTGCTTAAGAGCCTTTGGTGAAGGACCTTATCAAAGGCTTTCTGAAAAATCTAAATATAGTAGAACCTCAAAGATACGAACGTCAGAGTTACGGACTGACTGGTCAACTGGACACCATGTGAAACTGGAAGTAACCAATCAGGCAGGAGCAGAGACCAAAAAATAAAAAAAGCAAGTATCATAGTGTGCTTCTATTGCGTACCACACTGTGCCTATATTGCATCTTAAAGGTAGGCACATCTGGGCCTCTGTTATGCTGTCTCCGAAAAGTTTCCATGCAGCTTGCAGTTATTTCACTTTTGGCAATGTATCTTTTAATTTCTGTTTACCTAACTTCCTCATTTTTGTGTAGTTCCCCTTTCTGAAATTAAATGCTACCATGGCAGACTGCTGTGGTGTCGTCACCCCCACAGGGATGTTAAATTTAATTATATTATGGTCACTATTACCAAATGGTTCAGCTATAGTCACCAGATCCTGTGCTCCATTTAGGACTAAAGCATTGCCTCTCCTCTTGTGGGTTCCAGAACTAGCTGTTCCAAGAAGCAGTCATTTAAGATGTCAAGAAACTGTATCTCTGCATCTCATCCTGAGGTGACATGTACCCAATCAATATGGGGATAATTGAATTCCCCCATTATTTTTGTAGCCTCTCTAATCTTTCTTTAAAAAAAAAAAAAAAAAAAGTACTTGTGGCACCTTAGAGACTAACAAATTTATTTGAGCATAAGCTTTTGTGAGCTACAGCTCACTTCATTGGATGCATTATGCTCAAATAAATTTGTTAGTCTCTAAGGTGCCACAAGTACTCCTCTTTTTTTTTTTGCGGATACAGACTAGCACGGCTGCTACTCTGAAATCTAATCTTTCTGAGCATTTTGCAGTCAGTATCACCATCCTGGCCAGGTAGTTGGTAATATAGCCCTACTGCTATATTCTTATTATTCGAGCATGGAATTACTATCCATAGAGATTCTATGTCACAGTTTGGTTCAGCTAAGATTTTCACTTCATTTGACTCTTCGCTTTTTTACACATACAGCACCACCCTCCCGCCTGCCTGACCTGTTCTGTCCGTCCAATATATTTCGTACCCTGGTATTCCTGTGTCCCATTGCTTATCCTCATTCCACCAACTTTCTGCGATGCCTATTATATCATTTAATACCAGGCATTCAAGTTCACCCACCTTATTATTTAGGCTTCTAACATTGCTATATAAAAAAGAAAAGGAGGACTTGTGGCACCTTAGAGACTAACCAATTTATTTGAGCATAAGCTTTCGTGACCTACAGCTCACTTCATCAGCTGCATTCAGTGGAAAATACAGTGGGGACATTTATATACACAGAGAACATGAAACAATGGGTGTTACCATACACACTATAACGAGAGTGATCAGGTAAGGTGAGCTATTACCAGCAGGAGAGCGGGTGGGCGGGACGGGGAACCTTTTGTGGCGTTCTGTTATTTTCTTTGTTGGGCCTGTCCTGTAGTAGGTAACTTCTGGGTACTCTTCTGGCTCTGTCAATCTGTTTCTTCACTTCAGCAGGTGGGTATTGCAGTTGTAAGAACGCTTGATAGAGATCTTGCGGGTGTTTGTCTCTGTCTGAGGAGTTGGAGCAAATGCAGTTGTATCGTAGAGCTTGGCTAATGCCATTAGCCATCACCTTCAGCCCCCAACTAAAACCTCTCCAACACATCATCAAGGATCTACAACCTATCCTGAAGGACGACCCATCCCTCTCACAGATCTTGGGAGACAGGCCAGTCCTTGCTTACACACAGCCCCTCAACCTGAAGCAAATACTCACCAGCAACCACACAACAGAAACACTAACCCAGGAACCTATCCTTACAACAAAGCCCGTTGCCAACTGTTTCCACATATCTATTCAGGAGACACCATCATAGGGCCTAATCACATCAGCCACACTATCAGAGGCTCGTTCACCTGCACATGTGATAAATGCCATCATGTGCCAGCAATGTCCCTCTGCCATGTACACTGGCCAAACTGGACAGTCTCTACGTAAAAGAATAAATGGACACAAATCAGACGTCAAGAATTGTAACATTCAAAAACCAGTCGGAGAACACTTCAATCTCTTTGGTCACTCGATTACAGACCTAAAAGTGGCAATTCTTCAACCAAAAAAAATTCAAAACCAGACTCCAAGGAGAGACTGCTGAATTGGAATTAATTTGCAAACTGGATACAATTAACTTAGGCTTGAATAAAGACTGGGAGTGAATGGGTCATTACACAAAGTAAAACTATTTATTTCCCCATGTTTATTCCCCCCACCCTTTCCTCAGACGTTCTTGTCAACTGCTAGAAATGGCCCACCTTGATTATCACTACAAAAGGTTCCCCCCCCACCTCCTGCTGGTAACAGCTCACCTTACCTGATCACTCTCCTTACAGTGTGTATGGTAACACCCATTGTTTCATGTTCTCTGTGTATATAAATCTCCCCACTGTATTTTCCACTGAATGCAGCCGATGAAGTGATCTGTAGCTCAAGAAAGCTTATGCTCAAATAAATTGGTTAGTGTCTAAGGCGCCACAAGTCCTCCTTTTCTTTTTGCGGATACAGACTAACAGGGCTGCTACTCTGAAACCAACTGGTATATAAGCACTTCAAAAAACTGTCTAGGGCTAAAGATGCTCACGTACCTTCCTCGGGCTACTGGTCCATGACAGCTGCAGTCACCAGCGCCCACTGAGCAGGGGCGAACCAGCTGGCAGCTGTTGAGGGCAGAGCAAGAACCCCAAAGGAAGAGGGCAGCGAGCGCGGCGACGCGGGATCCTAACCGGGTCTAAGGACGCTGCCGGCCGGGCCGGTACCTGAACAACACCGTTCTCCGCGGCTCTCCTCGCACAGCGCGGCCCCTCTGCCGCACAGCGCCGGCTCCCCCGTCCCCCGCGGCGAGAGCGGGGCTCCTCACCCCTTTCCTCTGGGCGGCCATTGGCCAACCAAGAGCGACCCCCAGTGCTCCGGGCAGAGGAGAGACTCGCCACGGCTGGTGTGACAGCCACCAGCTGAAGGGGGATGGGGGCGGAACTGGGACACAGCCCCCCGGGCAGCAACTGTAGAGCCGGAGCCCCCTGACCAGAGGCGCCCGCCTCCCCGCGGCGAACATCCCTTAACGCGGCCCGGGCGGCGCCTCAGCTAGGCTGTCTCCCTGGAAACGTCGCGCCTTTGATAGCCCCGCCCACTCCGTTCCCGCTCGCAGGGCGCACGGCGATAAAATGGCCGCCGAGCGTCTACGCCAGCTCTGCAGTAGGACCTTCTAGGACGCCCGAACCTCCGTGAACTCTATGCCTCTTCCTGCTGGGAGCGAGAAGGGGCGTGGTTTATGCGGCTCTAGTCGCTAAGGGGCGTGGTCCGGGCTCCTGCTCTCAGGCGGAAGCCTGGGATCGTTACTATGGGGCGTGGCGGCTGGGGGCTCCGGAAAGTTCCAGAGGGGCGGGGCGGGGCGGGACGGGAGCAGGCGCTGCTGCCGCTGCCCCTCCCCCTAGATCGGCTGCAGCTCGTACGGAGCAGACACAGCGGCATAGCATCCCCGATATGGCGTCTGCGCGGGAGGAGGTGAGGGGAGGGGCGCGCGGGAAGTGGGCCTTGGCGGGGCCCGGCGGAGGGCGTAGTGCCCGGGGGTCGGGTCTTGCAGGGTGTGGGGGGCGCTGCGTCCGGGGGAGTGGGTCTTGCAGGGTGTTGGGAGGCACAGTGCCCAGAGGGGCTGGCAGAGGGCACAGAGCCCGGCGCGGGCAGTCTTGCAGGGAATGGGGGGCACAGAGCCCCGTGGAGGGCTGGTCGGGGCAGGTCTTGCTGCTGCCCCTGCCCTCGGGCCAGCTGGCTGGGCTGTGTTACCCCTTCCTGGAAGCATGTCCGTGTCCCCCCCCCCCCCCCCGGTGCCCCAGCATGCCCTGCCACTGTTCCTTGTGCCCAGCCGGGCGCGCACACACGGGCTCTGGAAGGGCCACACCCCATAGTTCTCTCCTGCGAGCACAAGAAATATGGCAAATGCGTGGTACCCTGCCTGCCTTCTGAGCTGCTGGGCACTCGGCCCTGCTGGCCCTCCAGCCTCGAATTGGTGGCCCCGCAGGCTGCCTGGCTGAGCGACTTCCTGTGTGATTAGGCATTATCATGTGCTCCCTTGAGCTGCCATTTAAATGGAAGGGTTTGGGTCTGGCCCTATCCCTACGGGAGTCAGTGTCCTGTCGTCGTCCCCCCCCCCACACACACACCCTCCACTTAATGCCCCTGCAGCTGCTGGTCCTTCCCTGCTGCAGCTACTCAGGCTGCCTGCTCTATCCCAGAAAGAGAAGAAAGTACCTCTGGCTGCCCTTGCCATTTCTCCCAGTGCCTGCCCTGCTTCCCTGCCTGCACAGCTGGGGAGCCCCACAGAGAACAGCTGGGAGCTCTGGCTCCAAGGGGAGTGCCTTGGAAAGGATGGCTCTCCTCCCCCACAGAGGAAATAGAGGAGAAGCTCCCTGAATCTGCCCCAGCACACAGTAGCTTGTTCCAGCTGCCTGTGGTCCACATGGTACATATCCAGTGGGAGATAGTTGGGGTACACTATGATTCCAGCCACTCCTTCATGGCACTTGCACCAGGGTGTGAAGAAGGAAGCGTAGGACTGGCTATGCTGACTCTATACCCCTTAAGGTAAGTCCAGTACCTTACAACTTTTCAAAGCTAGAAACTGGAACTTTGTGCCATTAGAAGGGGGAAATTGACACCTTTTTCCAGTGTGGGACTCAGTGGAATGTAATGGTTGTAACTGTTCTGAAGACAAAAGGCATTGTATTAGTGCTTCACTAAGTAGTATTAACCCATTGCCCTTTAACCCTCCTCCGATCCAGCTTCCCTTAGATACTTAACAGCCTAGTACCCCCATAGGAGGGGTCCTTTTCCCATTCTCCTTTCCTCTGAGTGCCCCCAAAAAAATGGAGGAACAAAAGATGTAATTACTTATCTGTAATTCAGTTTCTCTGAAAGTATTATCTTGCACAGGTCTCACTTCTGGTCTCTGCTCCCTGGCATCAAACAAGTGGAATTCCCTACTCTAAAGATGTTTTTTCTAGGCCCACAGGGGTGGTTGTAGCAGGTAGGAAGGTGTGGTCTTGTACTACTATGGAGCTTAACCATTGCACTTAAACCTTTCCATCAAGTTCCGGACTTGCAGTCTGTCTACGCAGGGGAATTTACCGGAATAACTATCCTGATCTATTTGAGCATAAGCTTTCGTGAGCTACAGCTCACTTCATCAGATGCATCCGATGAAGTGAGCTGTAGCTCACGAAAGCTCATGCTCAAATAAATTTGTTAGTCTCTAAGGTGCCACAAGTACTCCTTTTCTTTTTGCAAATACAGACTAATACGGCTGCTACTCTGAAACCTATCCTGGTCTAGTTATACTTACCCTGTTGATGGTCCAAAACTGAATGATGGGATGGGGTTGACTCTAGAAGGCAAAAGCGCTTGAGCTCCCCAACTTTGGAAGGAGGATCTGCCAGGCAGAGACCAAAGCAGGATTCTTCCCTAGAGGCAGAGTTCAGGCAATAGTTCTTTGTAAATGTATGGAGTGAAGAGCAGGCACGAAAGGCTGTTTTGCATAAGTCTACAACAGAAACATCCCTGAAGCAATCAGTAGCCCTGCTTTTCCTTGTCTCAGACAGAATGAACCTGGAGATTGCAATGGCCTGGCCAACCTAAAGCTTAGCAACCTGAAATGCAGTCAGCCATTTAGACATGGTCCTCCAAATGACAAGGTTGTGTAAGGAACTGATATCAAAACAATGTCCAGTGGCTTAGCTATGGTAAGTATCTTTTTGTTGCACCGGTTTTCCCCTTTCCACCCAGTTAAGCAGGCAGGGGCAAGATTCTTCATCCTCTTAGCATATGTTTCAAAGAAAGCACATAGTTTGGGTTTGAACTCAAAACACCTTGCGCTGAAGCTGGGTGTGATGCCCTCTATGTGTGCCCAAAATAAAGAACCAGACCATGGCACCAACGTTCTTTAAGGCCCAGCATCCTTTTGGACAGGGTGGATTTGATTTAAATCATGGTTTAAATCACTCGTCAGGAAGACTGTTTAATCATGGATTTCTACATAAAAGTGCATTCTTGTTGGTTGTTATAACCTTAATACATATTCTTCACAACTCGGAGGGAGATGTAGGTTTCATTTTTAGAAGGTACACATTATACATTTTTAAAGTGATGTTCCTTTCATCATCTTCAAAGATGTTTCATTCAGGCAACCATGCCTTGCCTCTCTTGGTTGCACTGTTTGCATTTTGCACACATGGCTGTCTTACCCACAAGTAGAGGAACTTCATTAAAATATTCCCCAGCTGGGGCTCTTATGGCCTGCTGCCATTATAGGTTTTCCCTTCCAGTGAGAGAATGATATGGTAGATCTCAAATCAATGAAGGCTACACTCAGAAAGACCTCAAGACTTCTGGATTTGTGCAGGAAATGGCCCACCTTGATTATCATGCACATTGTGTAGAGAGTTGTCACTTTGGATGGGCTATTACCAGCAGGAGAGTGAGTTTGTGTGTGGGGGGTTGGAGGGTGAGAAAACCTGGATTTGTGCTGGAAATGGCCCAACTTGATGATCACTTTAGATAAGCTATTACCAGCAGGACAGTGGGGTGGGAGGAGGTATTGTTTTATGATCTCTGTATGTATATAAAGTCTGCTGCAGTTTCCACGGTATGCATCCGATGAAGTGAGCACGAAAGCTCATGCTCAAATAAATTGGTTAGTCTCTAAGGTGCCACAAGTACTCCTTTTCTTTTTGCGAATACAGACTAACACGGCTGTTACTCTGAAACCTGCTCAAACAGTTTCACTTTTGTTTTCCACTGCCTGTCCCTCCCTTCTCACATTTATCTCCAGACTTCTACTCCTTGTCCAGATCTATTCCAGCCCCAACAATCTTCTATTCATTGAACTTTTTGAAACTTTGCACTTCTATAGAGAGGTAAGGGATTGACTCGCTGTACACAAATTTGCAGAGGGACAATAGGGTTGAGGTCTGTTATTTCTCACCTCTATATGTTATGTATATTGATTTAGTTTAAAAATGTTTTTGTTGTTAACAAGCATGTTATCTCTGGAGACACAAATCCACAATTTGAGAACTGTAAAACTAAGCATTTCTGATGGTATCTTCTAGACTGATCACTGAAGTCCCATTGGGTAGATAAAAAGATTAATCTATACAGAAGCCCCTGGAGCCCCATAAGATTGGGTCCCTAATCCTATTGGAACTCATTTACAAAACTTTTCTTAAACATTACATTAATATAGTATCTCATACTATAGAATTAGAATTTATAATCCCTATTCCATGATGAGATGTCTGAGCTATAATGTATCTATCTTTATATAGGTTTTTTCCTCAAAGCATTTTATATAAAAAAATCCAACTTTGAAAAAAAAATTAAATAATTGATTTTTATCCACCTGCTTTTAGAACTGCTGGGCCTGTGGTGGCTAAAAGGCCATGGGATCACTGAAATAAAAAAGGCTGAACATAACCTGACTAGAAGGCACAGAGAAAGATAACTGGAGCAGTCATAGTCATGATGTGCTGATGAGCCAGAGCCACATAAGTATGACTATGGATCTGGGGGCAACAAGAAGAAAGCCAAGGAAAGTGTGGGCCCCTTACTGAATGAGGGAGGCAACCTAGTGACAGAGGATGTGGAAAAAGCTAATGTACTCAATGCTTTTTTTGCCTCTGTCTTCACTAACAAGGTCAGCTCCCAGACTGCTGCGCTGGGCATCACAAAATGGGGAAGAGATGGCCAGCCCTCTGTGGAGATAGAGGTGGTTAGGGACTATTTAGAAAAGCTGGACGTGCACAAGTCCATGGGGCCGGCCGAGTTGCATCCGAGAGTGCTGAAGGAATTGGCGGCTGTGATTGCAGAGCCATTGGCCATTATCTTTGAAAACTCGTGGCGAACCGGGGAAGTCCCGGATGACTGGAAAAAGGCTAATGTAGTGCCAATCTTTAAAAAAAGGGAAGGAGGATGATTCTGGGAACTACAGGCCAGTCAGCCTCACCTTAGTTCCTGGAAAAATCATGGAGCAGGTCCTCAAAGAATCAATCCTGATGCACTTGCATGAGAGGAAAGTGATCAGGAACAGCCAGCATGGATTCACCAAGGGAAGGTCATGCCTGACTAATCTAATCACCTTTTATGATGAGATTACTGGTTCTGTGGATGAAGGGAAAGCAGTGGATGTATTGTTTCTTGACTTTAGTAAAGCTTTTGACACGGTCTCCCACAGTATTCTTGTCAGCAAGTTAAGGAAGTACGGGCTGGATGAATGCACTATAAGGTGGGTAGAAAGCTGGCTAGATTGTCGGGCTCAACGGGTAGTGATCAATGGCTCCATGTCTAGTTGGCAGCCGGTATCAAGTGGAGTGCCCCAGGGGTCGGTCCTGGGGCCGGTTTTGTTCAATATCTTCATAAATGATCTGGAGGATGGTGTGGATTGCACTCTCAGCAAATTTGCGGATGATACTAAACTGGGAGGAGTGGTAGATACGCTGGAGGGGAGGGATAGGATACAGAAGGACCTAGACAAATTGGAGGATTGGGCCAAAAGAAATCTGATGAGGTTCAATAAGGATAAGTGCAGGGTCCTGCACTTAGGATGGAAGAATCCAATGCACCGCTACAGACTAGGGACCGAATGGCTAGGCAGCAGTTCTGCAGAAAAGGACCTAGGGGTGACAGTGGACGAGAAGCTGGATATGAGTCAGCAGTGTGCCCTTGTTGCCAAGAAGGCCAATGGCATTTTGGGATGTATAAGTAGGGGCATAGCGAGCAGATCGAGGGACGTGATCGTTCCCCTCTATTCGACATTGGTGAGGCCTCATCTGGAGTACTGTGTCCAGTTTTGGGCCCCACACTACAAGAAGGATGTGGATAATTTGGAGAGAGTCCAGCGAAGGGCAACAAAAATGATTAGGGGTCTGGAACACATGACTTATGAGGAGAGGCTGAGGGAGCTGGGATTGTTTAGCCTGCAGAAGAGAAGAATGAGGGGGGATTTGATAGCTGCTTTCAACTACCTGAAAGGGGGTTCCAAAGAGGATGGCTCTAGACTGTTCTCAATGGTAGCAGATGACAGAACGAGGAGTAATGGTCTCAAGTTGCAGTGGGGGAGGTTTAGATTGGATATTAGGAAAAACTTTTTCACTAAGAGGGTGGTGAAGCACTGGAATGCGTTACCTAGAGAGGTGGTAGAATCTCCTTCCTTAGAGGTTTTTAAGGTCAGGCTTGACAAAGCCCTGGCTGGGATGATTTAACTGGGAATTGGTCCTGCTTTGAGCAGGGGGTTGGACTAGATGACCTTCAGGGGTCCCTTCCAACCCTGATATTCTATGATTCTTCAGATCACGATACTTAGGCTATGTCTACACGGCGCACCTTCGAACAGCTTGGCTGGGCTGCCACAGCCATCCCATTGTAAGGTACGCAGTGTAGCCATTCTTTATCGCCAGGAGAGAGCTTCATTGTGCTTTAAGTAATTTTCCAAAAAGGCTAGCCTTGTCTTAAGGCGCTCTTATGAATATGAAAGCTTATGCTCAGATAAATTGGTTAGTCTAAGGTGCCACAAGTACTCCTTTTCTTTTTGCGAATACAGACTAACATGGCTGTTACTCTGAAACCTGTCCTTATGAATATGGTTCCTGTTCTTTCCAATGTTTAGTTTGAATTGGACAAGTTTAAAACATCAAAAGGAATTGCTAAAAGTTATTGTTTGAGGTTCTTAGGCCAGTATGCTTGGACTTACAAAAGAGAAACATGCAGCTAGCATTACTTAGTTAAAATCCAAAATATGGTTACTTGTGGTCTCACTAGAAAGTGTAGACTCAACATGAGAACTTTCAGTTACTTACTTTAAAAACAAAGCAAAACTACTATCTCTGGAGCAAGTCTTACCACTTCTCAGTTGTGTTAACTTGGATAGGGGAGTCTCTTCGTGGGGTTAGTCCAAGCGTCAGTAGTGCTTCTGAATTTTGCAGCTTCTTTTGTGAACTCAGCAAGACTATAGGGTCCCACATGGTGACTTCAATCTGTATATGCTGTTTCAGGGTTCATCGGGGCCAGGAGGGGCTCATGCACATGCAATTCTTATTTCTGTTGTCAGTTTACCAGATAGGCTCTTGGATTTGAGTTCTCAGTTTCTCTGCAGTTGCCATTGATATCCAGTAGATGGCATCAGTGTATAACATTTCTTTGATATTTTTCATAATGGAGGCTTCTTTCATTCATTTCAAGGTCTGTATTTCAGTAATTTTTCTGTATTATCCAGACTTTCCCCTTTAAGTAATTTATTTTAATATTTCAAGGCTATATACAGGTGCTTATCTTTCAATATTCTTTTCCTTCTTGTGCCATACAATTCATATCCCTTCTATAGGGTCACTATCACTTAGAGTAGAAGTGGGTAAACTGTGGCCCACATCTGGCCAGCAGGACCATCTTGCCCGGTCCCTGAGCTCCAGGCTGGGGAGGCTATTCCCCAGCCCCTCCCCTGCTCTTCCCCCTCTCCCGCAGCCCCGTCGGCAGCATGGCTTGCGCCCACCCACCTCCCGGACTTTCCAATAAGCCTGTCCTGCCGCTCTGAGCAGCATGGGAAGGGGAAAGGGGGTGGTCAGGAGACAAGGAGCGGGGGGGGGGTTGGATGGGGGTGGGGGAGTCCCAAGAGGGGAGATGACAAGGGGGGCATCCCAGGGGGGCAGTTAGGGGACAAGGAACAGGGGGTGGATGTATTGGGGGTTTTGAGGGGAGCAGTCAGGGGGCAGGAAGTGGGAGGAGGCAGGGACCAGGCTGTTTGCAGAGGCACAACCCTCCATACCATTTCACAACCCTGATGTGTCCTCAGGCCAAAAAGTTTTCCCACCCCTGACTTGAGTGACAAACTCTGTAGCTCACGAAAGCTCATGCTCAAATAAATTGGTTAGTCTCTAAGGTGCTACAAGTACTCCTTTTTCTTTTTGCGAATACAGACTAACACGGCTGTTACTCTGAAACCTGTCACTATGGAATTTTGTTACTCTTTAGGTCTGAAATTGAGTGACCAGGGAGGTAGAAGTGTTCTCCGACTGTTTCCCCATGCTAATTTTTCCCCTGCTGTTGCTCACACCTTCTTGTCAGCAATTTGAAATGGGCCATCCTGATTATCATTACAAAAGTTTTTTTTTTCTCCTGCTGATAATAGCCCACCTTAATTGATTAGTCTCATTACAGTGTGTATGGCAACAACCATTTTTTCATGTTCTCTGTGTATATATATCTTCCTACTGTATTTTCCACTGCATGCATCCGATGAAGTGGGGTTTAGCTCACGAAAGCTTATGCTCAAATAAATTGGTTAGTCTCTAAGGTGCCACAAGTACTCCTTTTCTTTTTACTAGTGGAGTGAGTCTCTCTCCCCGCATCTGGCACCCGCTGCTGATAGCTGCAATAGTGGTCAGTCTCTTTCTGTGACTTGGCCCTCCAGCCAGGTCACAATTTAGTCCACTCTTTCCAGGGAAAGAAAGTCCAGCAGAAAACAGTCTTAACACCCTCACAAAAGGATCATCTACCCCACTTCTGGGCCCCATGGTTTTCACTCTTCTCTCTAGGCTTTCCACTGTTTCTCTCTTTCTCAGGGGTCTCTCCCTTGGAATCCCCATAAAAAATATACAAATTAAAACCAATTTCTGCCCTCCTTCAGTTTGACCTCTCATCCCTGCTGCTCTGTTCCTCAACAGAGGACCTCCCTGGGCTCTCCCCTGGTAGTCCAAATCCTATCCTTTTATAAGGGCTTACCACTGGAGCCTGCTCCACTCCCAAACCCTGCTTAGTTAGTCCCTCACCTGGTCTCTTACCAGACTTCCCCACATAGGAAGGGATCCCAGGGTATGTGCTCTCGCTCTCTCAGCTTTCCCTTCATAACCTCTCTACTCTGAGTTCTTCACTTTCTACAAGCAACTCCTTTCTTCTCTCAACTTCCTGCCTTTATAATTGCTCCTCCCCAGCTGGGCTTCATCCTCAGTTAAGTCTAGCCCATTCTCCAGGTGCAGGCTGGTATATAAATTGGCTTCTCAGGCCTACATTAACTCTTTCACAGCCTGTGAGGGGTACATACCCCATCAAGTTTCTCTCAATTTAGTGAACATAGTCATATGTTCTTTGATTATATTTAATACCTTTCATTTCACATCTTTAAGGGCTTACAGTCGAAAAAGAAACATTGTGAAGGAACAAGTTAACCTCAAACAGAGAGTGAGTGCCTTTGATTCATAAAGCGGACAAATATACAGCTTTTAATTTGGGATGAAGGCTAGTTGGTTTGGATTTCTTGGTATAACAGGCATTTTGTCACAATTGATCTTTGGTTTGTACTGGGGTCAACTAACTAGTTATTTCTAGTCCGCTTACCTCCTGTATAGTTTCTATACTCATCTATGGCTCTTGATTAACACATAAGAGGAGATGATAGAGCACTTTGAACAGGACATGAGGAAGTTATTCTTGTCTCTCTCCTTAGCTTGACCAAAAGAAGTAGGAGTCACTGCTTTGAGTAGCTGGAAGACTCCTTTCCAGGGGAATGTGTACTTCAACTTCAGCTTAATTGATGGTCCTCGGGCAAGCATCCCATATGTTGGGATGGACATATTGATTTCTATTGTCTTTAGCTCTAAGTGGAAGCTAAAACTTTGGAATATGCTGTGGGTGACTAGTTGCAATCTTAGTTGTCATGGAGGAAAAACTACTTGTCTGCATTTTAAGATCTGATCCTTCAGAACCTACCAGTAATAGAACAGTTGCTGTGTGTCCCACTGGAAAAAGCTGTCAGTTTTCCCCCTTCTAGTGGCACAAAATTCCAAATTCTACCTTGGAAAGGTTGTATGGTATTGGACTAACCATGTTGCTGGTCCAAGATTGAATATTGTCTGTCTTGTATCTTAAAGCAGTGTAACTTTTGCAGGGGAATTTCACATCTGAGAAATGGTTAGAACTGAGGAACCACTTCTCCAGTAGGTTGATTTTTTACAGCTGCTGTTTGAAAGTGCTCAGGTGGTTAAAATAAGTGTCCCAAAAAAAATTTAGTTAGCAGAGTGCAGGATAAATAGTTACCATATGTTTCTGAAATTATCATGTGGGTATCACCATGATCTCCCTCTCTGTATTCATTTTTTTTTCTTTAATAAATTAAGTAGTTAAATAAGGTAAAAATCTTAAATGAAACGAACTGTGCCACAGAATCTCTGTGGATAGAAATTCCATGTGAGTATAGCAGTAGGACTATACTACTTACCACCTGACCAGGATGCTGACTGTGACTGTGAAATGCTAAGGATGGTTGAAGATGTTACACAAGCAGAAAGCTCCGTTGCATGGATCTGATGAAGTGGGTTTTAGCCCACAAAAGCTTATGCTCAAATAAATTTGTTAGCCTCTAAGGTTTCACAAGTACTCCTAGTTCTTTTTGCTGATACAGACTAACATGGCTACCACTCTGAAACCAATAACAGTGGGTGGTTTCAGCTATCTTCATTTGACTGGGTAAATATCACTTCTGGGAGTGGTACCGAGATAACATTTCTAGGCACCATAAATGACTGCGTAGAGGAGCAGCTACTCCTGGAACCCACAGGGGGAGAGACAATTCTAGATTTAGTCCTAAATGAAGTACAGGATCTGGTCCAAGAGGTAATTATAGTTAAAGCAATTGGTAATAATGACCATAATGTAATTACATTTTAACATCCTTGTAGGGGGATAATACCAAAATACCACCATAGTAACATTTAACTTCTAAAAGGGAAACTACACAAAAATGAGAACTCTTGTTAGATGGAAATTAAAAGGTGCTGTCACAAGAGATAAATGCCTGCAAGCAGCAAGGGGACTATTTTTAAAAACACCATAAAAGACACTCAGCCTAAATGTATACCCCAATTCAGAGAAAACAATAAAAGGACCAAAAGAATCAGCACCAAAAAGACATCCTTTAAAATTTGGAAGTCAAAACCGACTGAGGATAATAGGAAGGAGCACAAACTCTGGCAGGTTAAATAAAATAAGGGAGGCCAAGAAATAGACACACAAACTAACAGTAAGAATTTTTTTACGTATGTTGGAGGAAGGAAGCCTGCCAACTAGGCAGTGGGGGCACTAAATGACAAAGAAGACAACTCCACTGCAAAGAAGCTAAAGTAATTCTTTGTATGGGTCTTCACTGCAGAGGATGTGGGGGAGATATCCACATCAAAGCTGTTCTTTTTGGGTGACAAATGTGAAGTAGTGTCCCACATTGATGTGCCAGTGGAAGAGGTTTTAGAACAAATTGATAAATTAAACAGTAACAAGTCACCTGGTATTCTCCCAAGAGTCCTGCATGAGCTCAAATATGAAATTGCAGAACTACTAACTGTCGTATGTAACCGATGATTAACACAAGCCTCTGTACCACATGACTGGAAGGTAGCTAATGTAACTCCAATTTTTAAGAAAGGCTCCAGAGGTGATCCTGGCAATTACAAGCCAGTCAGCCTAACTTCAGTACTGGGCAAATTGGTAGAAACTATAGTAAAGATCAGAATTATCAGTCACATAGCTGAATGCGATTTGTTGGGCAAGAGTCAACATGGCTTTTGTAAAGGGAAGTCATGACTAAATCAGTCTATTAGAATTCTTTGAGGGTGTCAACAAAGAATATGTGGATAAGGGTGATTAATCAATATACTGGGATTTTCAGAAAGCCTTTGACAAGGTCCTTCACCAAAGACTCTTAAGTAAAGTAAGTAGTCATGGGATAAGAGGTACTTTCATTGATCAGTAACTGGTTAAAAGATGGAAACAAAGCATAGAAATGGTCACTTTTCATAATAAAGAAAGATTAATAGCATGGCCCCCTAAAGATCTGTTCTGGAACCTGTGCGGTTCAACATATTCGTTAATGATATGGAAAATGGAGTGAACAGTGAAATGGCAAAATTTGCAAATGATAAAAAATTGAGATTCAAGATAGTAAAGTCCAAACCTGACTGCAAAGAATTACAGGGGAATCTCACAAAACTGAGTGACTAGGCAACAAAATGGCAGATGAAATTCAGCACTGATAAGTGCAAAGTAATGCACATTGGAAAAAGTAATCCCAACTGTACATACAAAATGATGAGTTCTAAACTGGCTGTTGCTACTCAAGAAAGATCTTGGAGTCATTGTGGATATTTCTCTGAAAACTTCAGCCCAATGCCCAGCAGCAGTTAAAAATGCTAACAGGATGTCAGGAAGTATCAGGAAAGGGATAGAAAATGCCACTATATAAACCCATGGTGCACCCATATCTTGAATACTTTGTCCAGTTCTGGTCGCCCTATCTCAAAAAGGATATAATGGAACTCGAAAGGGTTCAGAGAAGGACAACAAAAATGATCAAGGATATGGAACATCTTCCATACAATGACAGACTAAGAGGATTAGGGCTCTTCAGCTTAGAAAAGAGACGATTAAGCGGGGATATGATAGAGATCTATAAAATCATGAATGATGTGGAAAAGTGAATAGAGGAGTAGTATTTACTCTTTCACACAATACAGAAACCAGGGGTCACCCGATTAAATTAATAGGCTGCAGGTTTAATACAAACAAGAGGTAATACTTCTTCATATAACACGCAATTAACCTGTGGAACTGGTTGCCATGGGATTGTGTGATGGCCAAAAGTATAACTGGGTTCAAAAAAGAATTAGATAAGTTCATGGAGTATAGGTCCATCTATGGCTATTAGCCAAGATGGTCAGGGATGTAATCCCATGCTTGGGGGGACCCTAAACCTTCGACTGCCAGGAAGAGAAGACAGGGATGGAGCTCTCCAAATTGCCCTGTTCTGTACGCTCTGGTATTGGCCACTGTCAGAGACAGGGTAGTAGGCTTGATGAACCATTGGTTCATATCTGTGGGAGCTCGTATGTTCTTCTTTATTATTTGTATCATAGCACCTAGGAGTCCAGGTCCTGGACCAGGATCCTGTTATGCTAATACAAACACATAAGAAAAAGTCTCTGCCCCCATGAGTAAAAACAACTTAAAACATCTGTTTGGAGTTTTTAAAGGGAAAATGCAAGCTAAACATTGGGAGAAATTTGCAGACTATTGAATAGGGAAGTGGCAATATTCTTGTTGTTCTGCAATATTTAATATTTGACTGGACAAAGCAATATAGGTAGCAGTCCTACATTGGCCCCAGGGTGTGAGGTTGGGATGGACAAGACCTGTTCAGTCATCTAATCCATCTCTAGTTTCTGTGACTGAGATGAGTGAATGGGCTCAGCAGTAAACCTCAGATAAAGAGGCATGTGTCTAATGTACATATATGGTCTTCTGTTCTTAAACTCAGCTGGAGAAAGATTTGGAAGAGGTGAAAGAGCTCCTGAAAAAAGCCACAAGGAAAAGAACTCATGATGTCTTGATGGCAGAAAAGTACAAGCTAGAGATCGAAATCAAGAACCAGCCACCACCCAAGCTAAAAGAAGACACTACGGAGGAAGAGAAACCACCCGCTGTGGGATACACAGTGAAAATCAACAGTTATGGTAGGATTGCTCTTCCAACCCCACTTCCTGCAGAGCTAAGTGTGACTGGAGTCCCACTGGGCCACACTGAGGTTACTTAATTAGGGCAAACTGCAGAATGGGGCAGACAATCCCCAAAGCTGGTGGTCATTCCAATACTTAAATCCACCAAGCTAGCCACAAAACAGCTTCTGTAATACCTTACTAGTTACCCAGAAGACAAAACACAGTTCCCTAAAGCAACCCAGCCTTGGGCTTCCTCCTAGACTGTCAAGTCAAATATGAAAGTTCTGCCAATCCCAAGGGATTGGACATATTACCTCTCAGGTTAATGAATATTTCAGATCTTACCCAAATTCATGCTTGCAGCCAATTCTTATTAACTAAACTAAAATTTATTAAAAAATAAAAAAGAGAGAGTATGGGTTAAAAGATCATTATACATACAGACATGAGTACAGTTCTGAGATCAGTGTCATAGTAGAGATGGTGAGTTTTAGTGTTGCAAAGAGTTCTTGGTTAAGGCTTGAAGCAGTGATGGCATAAACTGCTAACTGGTTAAGTCTCTGGTTGCTCCCAAATCATTGGAAGGTCCTCAGTCCCTTGGTTAGAATGTTCCCTTTAGTATAAGTCCATAGTCCAGAAATCAGAGTAGAAAAGAGGCAAAATGGAGATGTTTCCAGGGTCTTTAATAGTTTCTGCCATGTGGAGGGAAACCCATTGTTTCAAACAAAGCCCTCTGCACAGTTTGTGGGGAAAAATATAGGTAACAAGATGGAATTTAGGGTCATGATTTAGTCACATGGCCTTGCATGCTTTGCTGAGTTATAGCAGAGGCCATTACCCATACTCCAGTTAGGACGTTCACATGAAAGTCCATCAGGTGTGGATAGGGTTGCCAGGCACCCGGTTTTCAACCAGAATCCCTGGTCAAAATGGGACCCTGGCAACTCTGGTCAGCACAGCTGACCAGGCCACTAAAAGTCCAGTTGGCTGTAACGGCCAGCACTGTGCAGCTCCTGGAAACTGCTGGCATGTCCCTCCGACTCCTTGGCACAGGCACTGCCCCAAGAGCTGGTTCCACAACTCCCATTGGAGCTCCCAGAGCCTCCTGGCCGCCCCCCATCCCACTCCCCAATACCCTGCCCCTGCCCTGAGCCCCCTCCTGCACTCTGAAGCCCTCATTTCTGGCCCACACCCCCAGCCCAGAGCCTGTACCCCCTCCCACAACCCAACCCTTGCCCCAGCCTGGTGAAAATGAATGAGGGAGGAGGCGGGTGGAGTGAGCAAGGACGGGGCCTTGGAGAAGGGCAGAGCAGGGGGTGGGACAAGTTCTGTTTTCTGCGATCAGAAAGTTGGCAACCCTAGATGTGGATAGGTGTCTTCCATGGTCATTGTGAGTTAAAAGAAAAGGAGTACTTGTGGCACCTTAGAGACTAACCAATTTATTTGAGCATGAGCTTTCGTGAGCTACAGCTCACTTCATCAGATGTTTACCATGGAAACTGGATTTAACTTGGATTTAAACTTGGAGAGTGGTCAGTTTAGATGAGCTATTACCAGCAGGAGAGTGAGTTTGTGTGTGTATGGGGGTGGGGGGGATGTGAGAAAACCTGGATCTATGCAGGAAATAGCCCGACTTGATTATGTAAAGAGTTGTCACTTTGGATGGGCTAGCACCAGCAGGAGAGTGAATTTGTGTGGGGGGGTGGAGGGTGAGAAAACCTGGATTTGTGCTGGAAATGGCCCACCTGCTGATCACTTTAGATAAGCTATTACCAGCAGGACAGTGGGGTGGGAGGAGGTATTGTTTCATATTCTCTGTGTGTATATAAAGTCTGCTGCAGTTTCCATGGTAAACATCTGATGAAGTGAGCTGTAGCTCACGAAAGCTCATGCTCAAATAAATTGGTTAGTCTCTAAGGTGCCACAAGTACTCCTTTTCTTTTTGCGAATACAGACTAACACGGCTGTTCCTCTGAAACCTGTCATTGTGAGTTAAGTGTTCCTTGATGGGCCATTCAACTTGAATAGTCTCTTCACAATGTGCTGCCTAAATACCTTGTGGGTATTACCCAGAAGCAAACACATTTGAAATACAGGTATAAAGACAATATTCATGACTTTAGATATAAAAATGATGCATGCATACAAATAGGATAATCATATTAAGCGAATCGTAACTTTTCCATATACCCTTTACATGACATACTTTGATTTGTTGCAATTATAGAACAATGGTAGCAACAACGATTCACATGGTCATACTTTAATCATATAACATCACACTAAGATTAATGATGTAAATGGAACCGAGCATTAGTGCCAGCTGGTGGTTAACTGGTTAACTCAGTTTGTCACTTGTACTCACCGTGCGTGTGTGTGTGTGTGTTTGTGTGTTTAAATTACAGGGATGATAATTGCCCAATATGGGCATTGTGTTTTAAAGATGGGAGGGGTTAAGGGATCCCAAGAGCTCTGGCTCCAAAGCAAAAATAAGCCTCTATCCCCGCCTTATCTGAGGAGGAGCCCCTTTCCTGGCACCAGCAGGAGATCCGGCAGACTAGGTAGCCCAGCAGCTGCCACTGCGGGACATTCAGAGTCTCTTCAGGTTTAGCTGCACTGTCCAGGGGAGGGTGGCATGGCAGGTTTAAGCAGTCCCAAATCCTCCAGCATTAATGGGAAGGAAATTACTGGTCTCTGTCCTCCTCAACCCTCCCCCCTCCCAATAGTTGGCAGATGTGAGGGAAAGCGCAGGTGCTCTTCAGTTACAATCTAGGCAAAAGGTGCAGGGAGTGTCCAACATGCTGATCTGTGGAGATAGTGCCCATAGTCCAGCACCCTGCCACAATTGAATAGAGTACTGGGTGAAAGTGGGCATCAAAGGAGGAGGCCAGGAGAGATGTAGCCAAACCTTCCACTCAGCTCTAATCCTGCCCACCCCTTTCCGCTAAGTCAGGCAGAGGTGCCTTGCTTCTCCCTGCTGTGGTAGAGTTGGTCTTTGATGCACTATGGGGACCAGGAGAGCAGAGCCCCAAAGGGTATACCTGGCCTCCCCTCTTTCATTCCACCCTTCTTTGAGTAGCTAATGGCTTCCCTCTGAAGGCAGTTGCAGTAATGTATGGCCTATGGTGGAAGGCATGCTCTCTTCTGGGGGAACTATGGTTGTTTCAGAGGAACACCACTCATGAGCAGGAAGAGGTTTTTTCCAGCCTCCCTATCTGATTTTCTCCCTTTCAGGTTGGGATCAGTCGGATAAGTTTGTGAAGATTTACATCACTTTAAATGGAGTGCAGCAGCTTCCAGCTGAGAATGTGCAGGTCCACTTTACAGAAAGGTGAGTCCAGACTGTTGCTGTGCTGTACCAGGAAGAACATATTGGAAGAGCTATACCTGAGATTAAGGCCTATTGTATTGAGTCCTTCTGGGTTAAAATCTTAAATTCTCCAACAATACTTTGGCACATGCATATGTAGCTGTCTTCAGAGGAACTCAAAGCATTTTACTAATGCTAATTAGGCCGTAAAACACTCTCATAAGGGATGTGTTATTAGCCCCATTTTATGAGTGACAAAACTGAAACACTGTGAGGTTAAGTGATTTGCCCAAGGTCCCACAGCAAGTCTGTGGCGGAGCTATAAAAAAGAACTCTGAGCAGGACTTCTGACTTATAGTTTCTTGTAACCTTTAGACAATAGTCCTTTCAAGGAATCTTCCAATATTGCAATAAGTAGGGAATCAGAAAGTCCTGGATAAACAACAAAAGTTTTGGGGTTCAGTTTCCCAAGGAGTCAGGCTGTATCCCTCTCTTGTTAAGGGTCAGTTTGCATTGCACGTATGATAGGGAAGTGAAGTGTGTGCATTCATTATACTCTTTCTTTCTCCATTCTAGGTCATTTGATCTGCTTGTGAAGAATCTGAATGGGAAGAATTACTCCATGACATTCAATAACCTTCTGAAACCCATCTCTGTGGAAGGAAGTTCAAGGAAGGTCTGTGTGTCTTATCTTTGTACGTACTTATATAGACCCCCCTCACCATCTGAGTAATCTTAGCCTGATTCAGTAGAATCCTCCAGTTTAGCCGTATAGGATTGCTCTAACCTCAAACCTTCTCTCTTGCTCTCTTCAGCCTCCAAAGGGAAATTGTAATGATGACTTCACGTATTCTGTGGCTGAAAAATTGAATCCTTGTTGCAGAATTGTGTGCCAGAATCCATGCTTTTGTTTTAAAACATCAAGGGACAGATTTTCATAGATATATAGGTGCCTAAAGATGCAGATAGATGCTTAGTGGGATTTTCAAAAGCGCCTAAACACATTAGAGGGTCTGGGCCCTAACTTTCACTGAAATCAATAGGAGTTAAGCACCCAACCTGCTTAGGTGCTTTTGAAAATCCTGTTAAGTGTATGTATGCATCTTTAGGCTCCTAAATATCTCTGTGTGTAGCCCTTATGGTTGCAAAGAAAAATTTTCCAAACATGAAGAGAGGGCTTGTCTACACAAACACTTAGTTCGTGGCAAGCGGGAGTGTGAATTTACCCAATGCTAGCCTGCTATGCACTACCTGTCCAAGTGGACCCTGCTGAGGTGCACTAAGTGTTTGTTAGTATGCTTCGATATATCCTGAACAAACTCTTAGTGCACCTCAGCAGGGTCCAAATGGACACCTAGTGCACCGCAGGCTAGTGCAGAGTAGATTCACGTCCCAGCTTTCCTTGCCACCAACAAAATATTTGGGTAGACAAGCCCAGAAAGTAACTAGATGCCTGAATCTGTACACAGCCTGAGATAAGAGCTGAGCTACCCCATTTGTCTCAGTGGGATGTTGGCTTTGAAGTTGAATGATAGAAAACATCATTAACTATTCCAGCATTGATTATCTTAACTTCCAGCTAATGTGCCTATCTGCAAACCCAAATCACCGCTCATACATTCCTATGTGCCAAAAGCCACATATGCCCCATACTTAACTGCCAACATTTGCAGCTTTCCCCAATGATACATATAAGGTGACCAGATAGCAAGTGTGAAAAACTGGGATAGGGGCTCGAAGGTAATAGGCACCTATATAAGACAAACCCCCAAATATCGGGACTGTCCCTGGTCATCCTAGACCAGCGGTTCTCAACCTATTTACCATCGTGGGCTGCATATGTGGCCCACGATGTGTTATGTGGACCGCATCCAATGCTATCTCTATGGCCCTACAGATGTCACATGGGCCGCAGCTCTGTGCTGATTGGGCCCCAAGCAGCCCGCACGTTGAGAACACTGTTCTAAACATATATAACATAAAAATGTGGGTTGTGGTCCACAATTCTTTACGGCAGTGTAAAATAAATTGAACTTAACATCGGCTTAAATAATGAGGGGATACTCTTGAGATATTCATTTTTCATATTGTATTGAATTAAAAAAAGAGTGAGGTTTGAATTGATCTGAAGCAGAATGCAGGGATCTGATTATAGAATTTAGGTCAAGGTTACAAGGTCAAGCTTAATACACAGGGTCTTGCTTGTAATTCACTGGGGTGCTGCACTGAGGCTTGGTGGTGTCTTCAGACTAGCTTTTTATCCCTGGATATATGGGTTCAAATAGAGTTACCCCTGATTTAAATGTTGTTGTTGTTGTTACTGGACTCTTAAGCCATTTATCCTCATCACAAAATATAGAATAGTAGAAGGAGGTGCAGATCAGATTAGAAGTGGGTTATGGGTCTGAAGTGGAAAAGCAGAGGCTGTTGAGAATCTAAACTGAGGTGGGTTTTTTGAGTCCTTAAACCAAAATCCACATACTCTTGAAAATATAAGCTGAGTCCTTGTGTTCGAGTAAAATGTGCAGAGGTGGACTGGCTGGAGTCATAAACTGGGGATGCTACTAGCACAGACCACAGCAGATAACGTCTTCTAATTCCAGGTGGTGCTAAGTAGTGCTGGGGGTTGGGTGGGCGGTGTGCCTGAGTTTCAGGGATCAAAAAGGTTGTATCTGATCATTAATTCTGAGACAGTCCTTAGAAAAGCTCATACTAATCCTTTTCCCCAGTTTTCCACTGGGGTGTAATATTTATGAATCACCACAGACAGAAACTAGGTATAGGATCTTTAACATTGATTGGTCTCTAGTCCCTCTGACCAGGTAAAAAGGCCGTTGACCAGACAGACCACAACGTTGTCAGGATCTTAAGTATTGTGGGCCAGGCTGCTCCTGCAGTGGGGGTGTGTTTTGGAATTCATAGAGTATTTTCTACCTCCCTTTAATACTGACTGCTGTTAGATATGACTGTGTCCCTTTTAGAGTATTCAAAACAAAGTAACCCTTAGTGCCCCACAGCCAAATACTTAATATTGATTTAAAAATATGTCCCATATAAGAAAAAACTAGCCCAGACAGCAATTCTCTGAGAAAGTTTTGAGCATCCAACAATAGAATAATACCAGAAACTGTTCTGCTACTTTAATTATTGTGGATGCAATGAGTATCTCCTATAATAAGTATCCTTAATTCACCTCTTACCATCAGATTTGTTTTGCTTTGCCTCCCTTTACAGATCAAGACGGACATGATCCTTGTGTTATGTAGGAAGAAACAGGAAGAAAAATGGGATTGCCTGACTCAGGTGGAAAAAGAGAGCAAGGAGAAAGAGTAAGTGTCCCTCCCTTCACTCCACCCCAACAATATTGCATTAGTGTCCTCAAAGAAAGCAGATGTGTACTGCGACTTTAACATCTCTAAGTCTACACAATGAGAATTATGGTCCAAGGGCCTAGCATTTAACCTGTTTTATGGCCTGAGAATTATTTCATAGCTGTTTCCCTGATCTTTGTAATCAGCTGATCTGGGGATTCCTTTGGCACTAAAGATTAGTGCCCTGGGAAGGAATTTGCACTAATTTGCTAAAATCATTCCGCCTTCTGCAGCTCAAATGCTCCAGGTGGGATACACCTGGTACATCCTTAAGTGGTTTTAATAGGATATTGGTGAATGGTGCAGCACAGGAAGCGTGGTGGTGAAGACCAGCAATGAGAGGCTTAAAGTTAACTCTTCTTTAAGCCACATGTTCCTATCTTGGAGGCTGTATTAGGAGCTGCTCTAATTGGGACTAAATGCTCTAAGAGGCTTTTTCCCTGCAGGTGGTAGTGGAGTGTTTTCTACATCTCTGTTGATGGCCTGAGGCTCTTTTATGTCCCTCCTTTGTAGCTCGGACCTGCAACCTTCTAAGGAGGAATTAAACAGGAGCCTGTCAGTATTGCCAGCAAATCCTGTGAGGGCTCACTGGTAGAGATTGGGCTTAGCTGCAAAATTTGGATTCAGATCAAAACTACGTTCTTTCTGCATCCGTATCTCATAATTCATGAGCAATTTCTTTCTTCCTTCTGGTGCATGCTGTACAAAGGACTGGGTACTGGTCATTGAACATATGTCTCCTGCAATGCAGTACTTTACCACTAAGCCAGCCCTACAAAGGTCTGCACTGACTCCCTGTTCAAGGGGTTAGTCACAATATATAAATCCCGTAAAGTTGCAGGACCCAGCCATTTTGTAGATCAGCTGGGACAATCTTGCTGTCACACTCTAGGGCAGCGGTTCTCAACAGGGGGTCCACGAACCCTTTCACGGGGGCCACGGGGCCCCTTGGCTAAAACCCAGAGCCATAGCCCCAGCAACTCCAGAGGGGCTGAATCCAGGAGCAGTGGGCTTGGAGCCCCAATCCCTGGAGCCCCAGTGGGGTTGAAGCCGGGAGCAGCTGGGCTGAATTCCCGAGCCCTGGTGTTCCCCACGGGGCAGAAGCCCTGAGCCCATGGGCAGAGTTGGAGGGACACGGATGTTACCCCGCCCAAAGCTACAGAGCAAGAACAGGGCAATCCTGGGGCAGTTCCACACACACACACCCTCCCTCCACCTCCTCTCGCCACCCACTGGTCAGGTCAGAGGTGAGAAGCCAAAGCTGGGCAGTGTAGGACAGCTGCTGCTCTCTGGCTAGTGCCATGGAGCAGGCAGCTGCAGCGTTCCCTTGTCTCCTGCTTGTGCAGGGAGTTGAAGCTCCTAGCCCCCTTTGCTCACGCAGCTGGTAAGAGCCGCCTGGGCAGGGAGACCTGGCTCCCTGGCTGGCAGAGCCCTTGGTGAATAGGAACTGCAGGGGAGCCCTCCTGGCACACAACCTCTAGCTACCCCATCACTGCACCCTCAGCTACCCCCTCCCGGCAAACAGCCCCGAGTGACCCCTCTCCCTGCACCCTGAGCTATCCCCCCGCTCACACACAGCCCCGAGCTACCCCTCTCCCTGCACCCTGAGCTATCTACCTGCCCACACAAAGCCCCAGCTGTCCCTCTGCCCACACAAAGCCCCAGCTACCCTTCTCCCTACACCCTGAACTATCCCTCTGCCCGCACACAGCCCCGAGCTACCCTTCTCCTTGCACCCTGAGCTACCCCCTCCCTGCACCACCCTGAGCTACCTCTCTGCCTGCACACAACCCCTAGCTGCCCCTCTCCCTGAACCCTGAGCCGTTTTCAAACTTTTTGAGCTGAGCCCCCCACTTTTGAGTTATAATTTTTGGTTGTGCCCACTCCCCCACAACCCAAACAGGCGAGTGGCTTTCTGAGGTAACTCGGGGGGTGGAGGTGACACTCCCTCCCTGGACCTCCCTGTGTGGACCTGGCTCCAGCCCCACTGGCCCGTGCCCACCGAAAATAGAAGTCAAACTACACCTATGCCCGAACTTCTTCCCTTGCCCAGAGCCTCCCCCACCCTCGCTGAGCCCTGGAGTTTTTATAGCATGTTGTGGGGGGCCTCCGAAAGAAAAAGGTTGAGAACCCCTGCTCTAGGGGTCAACTTTTGAAGACTGGCTCTCGGCATAGAGTCCTGTAACTGGGGAATTTGCTCCCCCTGCTGGTCTAACAGGGCTTGGTTCAACCCTTTACTTTTTAGTTAGCCGTTCAGCTGATTAGTACAGTAGACAAGGAGTTTCAAAGGTAAGATGAGGGGAGAAGCTATGGGGCAGGTTTCCCTATGCTAGCCAGTAAGGGCAATGTATGTGCTTATGGTTTATATTTGTGGTGATATGCAGGTGGTAAAATTGGGTACCAAATAAATCAAAGTAGGTTCCATTTATCATTTGGCTTCTTTAGCAGTGAAACATGTCTTAAGGGGCCAGTCCATTGGTGGTTTAACAGATGTGATCTAGTATAGGCGGGGGATACTTTAGGATTGTCACCTTGGTAGGAGGCTGATTTAAGAAGTAAGCTCTTGCACCGACTTCATGGTAACAGCAGAGATTGATTTTTGGTACTTCCTGGATCCAGTGCTATATTTAGTTACCATCTCTATGAACTTAATCTACACCTGTTTCAAACCCTAATGCCCTCTGCAAGGTTCTTCCTACCCCCCCCTTACTGAGACATCTCCAACATAATGTCTGTCTGTTTTTATTTTCCACTTAGTCTAGACCAGGGGTCAGCAACCTATGGCACACGTGTCAAAGGAGGCACGTGAGCTGATTTACAGTGGCACTCTGCTGCTGGCCTGGGGTTCCGGCTCCTGGTCCTGGTCACCAGTCCCGGGGGCTTCGTTGCTGGCCTGGGGTCACAGCCGCTGGCCCTGCTCAGCCCGCTGCCGGCCTGGATGGACGGAACCCCGGGCCGGGAGCGGGCTGAGCAGGGCTGGCAGCGGGGACCCCGGCTGGCAAGGGCCGGTGGCCAGAACCCCAGACTGGCAGCAGCCTGAGCAGCTCAGCCTGCTGCCAGTCTTGGGGTTCTGTCCGCTGGACCCCGCCAGCTGCGGCCCCGGTAAGCCTGCTGCCAGTCTGGGGTTCCGTCCGCCAGCCCCTGTAAATGTAAAATGTATTACTGCCACACGAAACCTTAAATTATAGTGAATAAATTAAGACTTGGCACACCATTTCTGAAAGGTTGCCCACCCCGGTCTAGACAACATCCTCTCTTTCTTTTTGAAGATGCCAAGCTCAGAGGACTCAGCTTGAGACTCCATAACACCCTTTCCCAAAACCCAAGGCAAAATTCTACATAATACCAATTTTTTGCATAAGAATTGTTAAAGCATTTAAAGTTTGGCAGAGAATTGTTACAAATGACTGAGGCTCCTAGGCATTATGATTAGTAATACAATGATAAGCTTGTTTCATACATATCCACCTGTCTTACAGGAAAGCCTCCTATGACACCTCAGACCCTGGTGAGGGGCTGATGAACCTTCTCAAAAAGATGTATGCGGAGGGAGATGATGAAATGAAAAGAACCATTAACAAGGCCTGGGTTGAAAGCAGAGAGAAACAAGGCAAAGGGGATATACCATTAGATATTTGAGACTACTCCAAAGGCTGCCTTGACACGGACCTTCCATATGAGACTTTTGCTGTGCTGCAGAGATCAGTTCTACAAGTGCATTGTTTACACAACCTTCTTCCAAGCAAAGACACTTACCTGTTTTCCATTTCAGGTTGGAGAAAATATTTAAATAAAATACCCTTATAAAGCATTTCTTTCCGTCAAGTGGTTTCCTCCTCTTCCCTGAAGAGTAGAAAGTATTTGTATTGCTTCCTTCCCCAAGAGCTTTTCATTGGTCTGCTCATCTGAAAACTGACAATTATGCAAACATTGTAAACAGAAAAAAAAAACTTAAACTGTTGTGTCAAGTGTCAGAGGGGTAGCCGTGTTAGTCTGGATCTGTAAAAGTGGCAAAGAGTCCTGTGGCACCTTACAGACTAACAGACCTATTGGAGCATAAGCTTTCATGGGTGAATACCCACTTCGTCGGATGCATGTAGTGGAAATTTCCAGAGGCAGGTATAAATATGCAAGAAAGAATCAGGCTAGGGATAACGAGGTTAGTTCAGTCAGGGAGGATGAGGCTAAACTTCTTTTAGCAGTTGAGGTGTGAACACCAAGGGAGGAGAAACTGCTTTTGTCGTTGGCTAGCCATTCACCGTCTTTGTTTAATCCTGAGCTGATGGTGTCAAATTTGCAAATGAACTGAAGCTCAGCAGTTTCTTTTTGAAGCCTGGTCCTGAAGTTTTTTTGCTGCAGGATGGCTACCTTGTGTGTTAGTCACCATGTCATTTGGCTGCCTTTGGCTATTTGGTTCCTAGCCCTAATGTATTAACCCAGCTTAAGCGACTTTCTACATGCAGGAAGCAGGAGAAACTGTCAAACAAACCTCAAAAGGACAGACATGTCTAAATAGCTGAAGACAGCTTAATTATAAGAGTGGAATCTGCATCTTTGACTAGTTATTGGTTCATTGAGCTGAAAAGTAGCTCTTACCTACCATTCTTTACAGAAGGGCAATGGCAAGAATCCTGTAGAAAGCATGCTGAGCAGATACCTGTTGCTAGTCAAGAGACTTGCTTAAGCGCACCCAGGAGAAGGTGAATGTGACCAGCTTATCCAGCATCTGCCTGCAGCAGGCAATCCACCCATTTTTCCAACCACCTCCCCAAAATGCAGGAGACACAGCTGAGTAACAGCAGTGCAGTTAGTAGCCATAAAAAGGAAAGATGCAAGAACAATGTCTGGACTAGCACAAGGCAGAAGCGTAACAATTCTCTACCCTTTGTAAAGTTCTTGATCATTGACAGGAAGGTTCTGTACCAAACTAATGAATTAATAAGTTGCTATAAGCATGACCCCCTTTCTTTAAAAAAGGTGGTGCTGTCTACCAGAGCACAGTACAACTGTTGACTTTCTCCCACCCTACTTTGAGTTGTTTAGGAGCCTACAGGTCAACAGAATTAAGTATTAGACCCCATGTTGGTTAATGTGTGGAATTCATTGTAGCTTCCCATATTAACAGCAGGAAGCTGCTCAACCATTGCTGTGATAGAACATGAGCCTCTGCAGGCCTCGCAACTGGTAGCATGTGGGTAAAAGGTAGGATCAAACACACGCTCCTCCCAGCAATGTGAGGGATGGGGAAGGCATCACAGAACAGGAAGGGGGCAGGGATCCTGTACACCCCAAAACATCTCCTTGAATGTGGGGGTGTTACCTGTCAGCTCTATATTCTTGGGGAACCAGGGTGCAGTACCTAGCCTGTCTGACTCACAAAAGACCTCCCCCCTCCCCCACAGTCTTTGCTTGAACCAAAAACAATCAGAAGAAAGACTTACAAAAAGCAATGAAAAGGCCATAGGAGACGCACCTAAACACTGGGACAAAGGGTGACAGGATTAAGGAAACTCCCCTAGCCTCATTTGCATCGAAGATGGGACAGGGCGGCATCTCCATTAGCATCCAGAATGGAGAACAGAGATTCCAAGGCAAGAACTGCATAGAACTCTGGGACCAGAAAAGCACTGCATGATGGGGAATCTGTGCTCCATGCCTGCACACACCCAGCTCAGTAGTTATCAGACCAATTCTAGTAATAATCCTTTATTGGTATCCAAAATAGTGAAGCTCTCTAATTGCATTGTGAGCTCCCTCCAAGGAACACTGCCCAGAGCCAGGAATGATCAGTTTTGCCTAGTCTGAACAAAACTACTTTGGTATACTCCCTTGAGCCATCAGTTCACCCATAAACAAATCTAGTGTGTTGTTTCTCTACAAAAACTCCTACCCATGCTCAAGTAAGTGTTCTGATGCCTGGATCCAAAATCTGTATCAGTTCTATTGGGACTTAATCTTCTCCTGAACGTGCTGGGGGCTCTACCTGTCTCCAGCACTCCAGACCCTCAGCTACCACCACCACCACCCCTGGAACCTCCAATTGATTCAAGCTTCATGGAGTGGTGAGAACCCAGCTCTCTCTCGCTAGGTATAGCCTTCTGACCCTGACTTGTGTGATCAGTCAGTTTTCTAAACCTGACTTTTATAATCAAATTTAAGTTAGATTTAATAGTATAACTATTTAGTTTCTTTGGCTCCCCTATGGTTATTACCTGGCAGTAAATAACTTTCATGGTTAAGCTGATGTGACAAAGTGGGAATGGTCTTAATGTTTTCTCTGAATACTGTGTTGGTGCCTCAGTTTCCCCTAGGCATTTCTTAAGTAGCTAGGTGGTGGGATAAGGGTATGTGATTGTTAGAGCCCTAGAGGGCCAGTGTGATGGTGTCTGCATAGAGAATCGCCAACACCCTGTCTCCTGGCAACTGATGGCCTGGGCCCCTCTTCTGCAAAGGTGCCAACTGAAGGGGTTGGAGAACAAAGAGATCAGGTGGCCTCCTGACCCGGGAAAGGGACAAAGGTGAGAGGAGGAGAGTTTCCATTTGGAGCTGGTTGGGGAAATGGAGGGAGGCCCAGATGGACAGACCTGACTGAGGGGTCCTGTTCTCTGTACCTACAAGCTCTTCTTTTAGACTGTGTTCCTGTCGGCTAATAAACCTTCTGTTTTACTGGCTGGCTGAGAGTCACGTCTGACTCTGGAATTGGGGTGCGGGCCCACTGGCTTCCTCAGGAGCCCCGCCTGTGCGGACTCGCTGTGGGAAGCGCACCATGCGAGAAGGGGATGCTGAATGCTCCAAGGTCAGCTCCAGGAAGGTCAAAGCTGTGTAAAGCTTCTTGCCCTGGAGACAGTCTGCTCAGACAAAGGAGGATCCCCCAGAGTCCTGACTGGCTTTGTATGGAGTAGTTCCAGAGCATTGCCCGGTGACTCCGTGACAGCTGGTTGCTTCTCTCTCTCTCTCTAGCCCCCCCCCCGTGGATGGTTTTTGGCTTCCTCATTTTCCCTGCAGCAACGCTCCTCGTACCTAAGCTAAAGATCCCTGCAGCACCCAAAAATCCTGTGGGGTTTGCTTATCAAGTGGGTTACTATCAGAACAATTGTAACATGGAAGTGAAGATAGGGACATGCTGAACCTGGGACATATGAAGGTGGCAGCTTGGAAGTGCTGCTCAACCCAGTCTGCTGAGTCCAGGAGCAAATAAGGGTGGCAGATTGAAAGTGCTGCTCAGGCATACTCTACTCCAGTGTGGTGCCCATGGCATATGAGGGTGACAGCTTGGAGATGCTGTTCGACCCAGCCTGCTGAATCCAAGGGCCTATGAGGGGGACAGCTTGGGACATATAAGAGGTCAGCTTGGGAGTGCTGATTAACTCGGTCCTCTCAGATGCACTCTGTTAACGTGTGTGTGTGTTCGTCTGATTCTGGGGCTGGAAGAACCGAGCCCTGGGGAACCTAGGTCCTGCAGGATAACTCCACTGGCAGGGAACTTGCAGCAGGGAGCAGAGCTCCATATGAGGACACAAGCAGTACATTGAAAGAAGTACAGAACATGCTCCCCTTTCCCCCCACCCCAGCCCCAAAGAGTAACCCTAATAAATGAGCATTCCCCAAAGTAATTGGAAAATCTGGTAACAAGGGCTACTGCCAAATTCATTACCCGTGCTGCTTCACCACAGCAGTGAGGATGGCCTCTGCATACACTGCCTACAGCAGGGTATTCCTTTGCAGTGTGAAGGGAGGGAAGCCACAGGCCGTGACTAGCTCCCTAGTGCAGTACTCCCAGTGCCACATTCCTTTCCCACGGTCTACTGCAACAGGAGAGGGAGGCTGAGTACACACTGCAGCAGTATAGCTCTGATTGCAGGAGGCAGCAGCTCTCTGCTCTTCCTCCCCTGTGCCCCAAAGCAGATGTAGCATTTGATGTTAGCTCACCTAACTCCCAAGGGATATGATGCTCTTGTTCCTATTTTGCAGATGAAGGAAAAACTAAGGCCCGGAGATGTTAGTTCAGTGAAATGATTCAGGGGGTTGATAAGAGAACAAGGCCTAGGATCCAGGTCATCTACCCTGGCCTGCTCTTGGACTACGGCACCAGGCTCCCTAACTGCACGAAGGAGAAGAACTTCAGTACACTTCAGCTCAATGGGGTGTTTGTCCACTGCCAGCCTAGCCTGCCCCTAACATACAGATAAATTGAACAGGTGTAGTGTTTAAATACCTTAACTGAGGGTGAGCACACTTTCAGCTACTTGGCCGGAGTAGTTGGAGCTTGTCTTCATATTCACTGCAGCATACGTCCCTGCTACATTGTGTGATTCCTTGTTTTTAGTGATACTTTTGAGCAGATAACTGTGCAAAAGAGGTCATTGCAATCTGAATGTAAAGAGCAAACAGGAATCACTGAACAAGTCTTGTACTGTAATGTGTTTTTAATTTAGATGTTCCTTTTAGTTACAAATCCCAGCTTGGTTTTATAACAGGGTAGCAGCTCTTCCTGGCAAAATAAAACTGCCTCTAGCACAGCCTGGCTTGATGCATTCCTATTCGCCCCTTATACCATATCTCTTTGCCATCAGATTTGCAATAGTCCCCTCACAGTGGTATCCCAGTGACAGAACCTCTCTATCCCCTCCCCCTACTTGTTTCTGGTATGTTCATGCTGGACTTTAAACAAAAGGACAGTCTTGCTTTTTCAGTTACAGGAATGCATAAATTGGGCCCAGTCTCCGCTTTTTGACTGAGCAAACAAGTCCTAGTGGTGATTTACCACATAGCTCTCTGTATCCCAGACATCTGACTGTGGTCAGCCAGGTGGCGGAAAACAATTCGACTAAGCCTCCAGCGCCGCTTCACGCCTCGTGGACGGGATGTCAGGACGCATCTATTCCGGATCCTCACAGGGCAGCTGTCACGTGGCAGGGCAGCAATCTCTTTATCAGCTATTTCCTGGAGCCAAAGGAAGGGCAATTACACACACACACCCTGAAGTTCCTATGCTGTATTTTGCCCAGGGTTATCTTTTTTAAGACAGTTTAGTGAATGGGGTATAGATGGACAGGCCTGAAGGCTTCCTTACCCACAGCAGAGGTACCAGCATGTGCCTCCTTCCTACCCTGGAGCCACCACCTCTCAACTAATGAGAGGGCAGTTTGCTCTCCATGCTCTTCTAGGTTCTCTCTCCTCAGACTTCCCATGGGATTTAATGGTTCCACTTGCTGGATGAGGGCCCGGCTCCATTAGGAACTGAAAAGTGTCCTCATGTATTTCACCCAAGTCACTGAACAGTCCAGTTGGACAATTACCAATTGTCAATAGTGTCTATGTTAGAGGGTGGGCTGGCCCTTTAAGGGAGTTGGACTCAGCCCCATCTGTTTCATGTTAGTTACCTCCCCAGCTGAGAGGCTTCCAGGCAGATAAAGGAGTCTGTTCAGTTAGGGAGAAAGACCTACAATAAGCAGGACAATTCTTGCAGGGGACCCAGTATCAGAAGAGACTAGGGAAGGTGTCTCAACTCCAGCCAGAAGGAAGGACCTGGTGGGAGCAGCCTGCAGGGAGGGGCAGGAGTAGAAGCTGTAAGAAGAAGAAGAGGCTTGAAAAAACCAGCAGGAGTTGGGTTTTGACAAAGAACTGTTGAGCCCAGCAAGGGGCTGTGAATCTGGTAATCAGGGAGAGGCTTGTTTTGAAATAAGTTGACATTTGGACTGTAATGTTTTTATATCCCAAACTCCAAGAAGAGATGTCTGATTCAGAAGAATCTGGATACAGTCACATTGGGAAACCCAAAACAGGGAAACTGAGGCAGTGGCAGGGTCTAATGCTGGATCAGGTAAAATGGTGTTGCATTCAATTACTGTTTCCATGAGGCTTGCAGTACCCTTGCAAAATTTCCTTCTCCTAAAAAGGTCATGTGATCTCAAAGGGATAAAAGGTCAAGAAACGGCACAGATGACCTACTTCTGTTTCTTACCTTTGCAAAGTCAGTGTAACTGTATGTTTTACCTTCAAACCAGATGCTTCAGAGCTTTATGTACAAAGCCTAATACTTTCAAACAACCCTACAAGAACAAGCCAGTGCAACCACATTGGGGAGTGAAGGTCGGTAGTTAGGGAAACAAGTCTTTAAGGAAATACATTTCAAGCCACAATTTGTCACAGATAGCAAAAAATGATTTTAGAAAATAGTGTCCTTTAAATTAGCAAATTAAATGTAAACTGCCATTTTTCAATAGGGAGTTTGTAGCATCAGCTTTTGGAGGCTGTAAGTTGTTATATTTTCCACATTACAGCTACAACAGATAGACAGACAAGTCTGATTTGTACAGTGGAGTTGCTCAGAATTAACTGGTGCCTTTCTGATGCTACTCAAAGAGGAACAGATTCTGAAAGGCATATATCTGGAGCCTGTTGCTTAAGTGTTTCTTTAGAGCCCAAGTATCACGCTGTGGAAAGCAACAGCGTGGATCTTATTTTCCATGCTCCTCTTCCCTAGTTCTGAAGACTAGTAGGGGCACTAGAATGACAAGGAGATTTTATACTGAACAGTTCATTCCCCACCTTAAGTCACATTCACTACTACAGTAGCTAGCTGTGACTCTGAAAGATGACCACCACTACCTGGGGAATAGCATGAGCAGATAAACCAACAGAAATCCTTGTTTTTATACAAAATGTCCACTGCAGGCTGGTGCTACCTCAATACTGGTAGGTGAATATGCCATGTAAAGACCAGCTCATAGCAATGAGAACGATTCATGGTATATCTCACTCAAAAGGGTAGGTAAAGCCATCTCTGTGAAGGAAACTCCACAGAAAATGGAGAGAGAGAGAAGGAAGACAGACTGAAACCAGGACACAATGAGTATGTTCCCCATGAGGTATCAATTGTTCCTTTGGTCTGAATTAGTTTCTATTAGGAAATGAGTTTATATCCTAGTTATGTGAGCAACCACCCAGAAAATACTAGAGCACTCACTCATCCAGAGAAGTCAGAAGGTTCCCTACTACAAATCAACTCTTTCTGCACCCCTTTAACAAACCAGTCAGAGCAGAATCCTAACTTATTCCCACGATCACCCCTCACAGCAACAGCTCGGGTGCATTATTCCCTGGTAAAGATAAAAGATTGCTAGCTTTAAAGCTATAAAGATTGCTAGCTTTATTTTAGAGTATAAATAAAGCTTCCAGACAAATAACTGCTGAAGACAGAGTTCTGAGGAGAAGTCTTGCTTCCTGTTCTCTCAGTGCCTCATTCGTTTGAGTCAGCATCTCCTGTTGTAAATGCTGGCACTGGGAAATAAGGAAACTGATGGCTTAGCTAGGGGAAAAAAGCTACCTCCAGCAGGATGTTTTAACTACAGAGTTAGATCAGCAGCACTTATCTTTCTCCCTTTTTCCCCACTCTAGCAATTTCTATAGCCCTGGTGACGCCTGCAGGCTCTATTAGGGTTTTCAGATGGGTGGGTTGAGGTAGTGGTGACTAGACAATAAAAATCCAGAAATTTATATCTAAAGGTCCTGATCCTGGAAAGACTTGTAAAAGTCTAATTTTAATAGGGCACACAGCCCTTTGAAATCAATGAGACTATTTACCCATATGCTTAATCTCAAATATGTAAGTCTTTGCAGAATCACGTCCCAAGATTTTAAAGTAGTGTGGGAGCAGAAATCAGCCTGGATGTACAGCATTTCTTTAGGAACTAGTAAACTAGACCTGTAGTGAGCAAAACTATGGGGCACACCCCCCAGGGGGGCACAGAGGAACGTGCAGAGCTGAGTGGCAATGCCAGACAGCTTGTGCCAGCCCCCTTGGGGGCAGGGAGGGAGCACCTCCACCCGAGTCACCTCAGTGGGCCACCTAGCCCATGGGTCAGTGTGCCGTGCCAATTTCTGCTCCCAGCATCCTCTGTGCAGAGTGCTGGCTCCACCCCCAGGCTGAAAACCCAAGAGGGGAGGGGGCAGGTATTGGCGCTGCCCTAGCAGTGCAGCCTGTCTGCAAGGTAGAAGCAGCCTGCAGCTGAGGAAGCCTTGGCTGTGCAGTAATGGAGGGGGGAGGCACAGACAGATTCCATAAATGGTAAGTGGGGATGCAACTGGAAAAGTTTGTATACCACTGAACTAGACAGTGAACCTCCCATACCTAAAGGGGAAATGGCCCTCACACACCCATTTGTGACAGTTACAGAAGGAAAAACAAGACTCCAGGAACATCCATAGGAACAATGAGGCTGTTCACTGTACCCCTGCAGGACATAACCACTTCCTGTTCTAATAACCTCTGATGACTTCTGATTTTAGCAGTGGCAAAGGAGTTCCACCCAAGAGATTTTATTCCTGTTGAGAATGACCCAAAAGGGACAAGGCTCTGGAGCTGAGTATCAATACTAAGTAGATGGCTACATGATGTGAAGTGAGCTTGTGAACTAGATGGATGCAGGTATTCTAGACTGACTCCCCCCCCCGAATCTGAAGCCTGGCACTGGCTGCACAATTAGATTCATACAAAGTAGTTTGTGATGCTCAGAGAATGCTGCTGCTGCAGCAGTGTGGGTGTGCATACCTTCTCCCTAAAGTATGTGGGTGTGCATACCATCTCCCTAAATGGTCCCACAGGAAAGTACAGATGGACTTTACTTTACCTGCAGTTCTTTAGGCAGGATGTTATTTTTTCGGAGAGCGTTGATCCGCAACCTCTCATCTGCATATTCATAAGCCATCTTCCGTCTCTTTACATCACGCAGCATTCTCCAGTCTACATAGTAACCCCGCACTTGCCCTCTACAGGGCAAAGGAAATATCTAACAAAAGGGAAAATATAAAGTTTAAATCTGCAGCTTCCAGTATTTTATCACTCACCCAATTCCAAATATTGCTTATTCCTTTACTCTTCCTAGCATCTACCTCATTTGGATTCAATCACTGCCTTCACTGACTCCTCTGGTCTTCAGGCCTGACAATACTGGCAAGTCACCCTCTTCACGCATCCAGGGAATTTAATCCTGTAGCTCAGCAAATCACACCAGCTAGCTCTGTTGTTGGCCTGGCCTAGGTCATGAAATTCTATCATGTCTAAGCACACAATTGTTGACAACTGTGAATCTGTCATGTTTAACAATCAGTGTGGACCAGGACAAACTGTATGTAGTTTCAAGTGTTAACATGGTTGTTGACAGCTATGTTCAAACACAAAATTCTGTAGCATAGACAAGGCCTGCAGGATCATACATCCCAGCACAGGTGTGTTTTACACAGCATACAATGGAGTCTTTTAAGACTGTCAAGATTTAAATACACAGTCCATAGTCATAATAAAATGCCCTACTAGCATGTAGCACAAGGAGACTTTGATCTTGGCTAAGGCATGACTGGAATAGAAATCATCATAATAAATAAAAGGGCTGTTGGCACCTCCTAGAACCCGTAGAAAAAAATCCAGGTTTTTTCAGGGGTGTGTTTTTTTGTTTGTTTGTTTTTTGGTGCTGGGATCCAGTGTATTTTTGGCTAAGATCAAGTATCAGTAGTCTCTTGGCCTATCAAAGACCATGATCAAGTGTCTTGATGTTTTTGGTCTTTTGGCCTCGAGATGAAAACCTTGTCTGTGTCTCTTAGATAATATTTTTACTGCACAGTCTAAGTTATATCTGTTTAATAGCCTATACAGTCTCAATAGAGGATATATCATGTGAGACACACACACATCAAATATCCTAAAGGGCCTTTTCTATTTCTAGCTGCTAAACTCTCTTCCCTTGTTTTTTTATCACTAGGCATCTTTCTGTGAAAACAGGATTTTTTCTGTAGCTGACTCTCTTCTCCTGCTGCTGGTTCTTCACCTGCAGTAGTCTGGAAAGGTTGAGAGCCACTGTCCTAGACAACACTGCCACTAAAGCCAAGTGGCACACTCCACAAAATGCTTCTCCAGACACGCCACCAATCCTTCCCGCCTAAATTAACCGACCTGAAGCCAGGAAGACCGCACTTCACCCAGGGGCGAACCCAGCGGGACACCCCGTGCGCTGCACGGAGAGCTGAAGATGAGACACAGACCAACCCAGGGGAGGGACGTGGGCCGCTACGCAGCGCCGCAGAGAGAGGGCACCGGGCAAGGGTATAAAGGCTGCCGGGGGAGGGCTGCCGGGGGCAGGGAGTGGGGGCACTGGGTAGGGACTGAAGGGGACCAATGGGGATGGACCGGGGGCAGGGGGGCACCGAGGAGCACGGATGGGGGCAGGGGCAAGGGCAAGCAGAGAGGTTGGGCTAGGGGGCTAGTCGGTGGCGGGACAGTGACCGGGGGCCCGGGACAGGGAAGTTACCAGCCCCAGCGCGAGCCCCGGGGAGTCCCCGAGCCAGGCGCTGCCGCCCGACGGGCCTGACCTGCCGAGCGGCCTGCAGCGCCCAGCCCAGCATGGAGGCCGCCATCTTCCCCGCCTGGCGCATGCGCCTCCAGCCACCCGTCGGGCGGAGGGAAGGAGGGGAGCGGGGAGGCGAGGCGTTGTGGGAGGGGGAGGAAGAGGAGTATGGGGGAGGGGTGGTTTGGGAGGCGTGGGGGAGGAAGGGAGGTTTGGGGTAGGGAGGGGGGCTTTGGAGGGGGATTTAAGGGAGTTTGTGGGGAGGGAGAGGTTTGGTGGAACCAGGCAGAGCCATGGTTTTCGATAATAGGACACATTGTTCATTTCCCTTCTGCAGCCCAACCCCTGGCATCTCTCCTATTTCAGGCCCAGGGGACCAAGCTGCTGACCTATGTGACAGAGTGAAATCCACAGGAGGTGAAAGCTCCTGGCCAGGAGTGGGAGATCCTGTCCCGTCTCCCCATGAAGCCTGGAGTTCACAGCCCCGAATGGCACCCTTCGAGTTTGTCAGTCTCTGCCAGCGTGCTCAGTGCTGTTATGAACAAAGGGGGACACAGGCCCTGTTCCGTGGGTGATGCCCCACATAACAGGCTCAACTAAAGAGATGAGCCCCAGAGGTGTCTGTGACAAATTAACCATTAGACCTATGCAAGCAGCTGGGCTCCTCTGGCTAGTCTATCTAGCTATAGAGCATGTCAGGCTCCCCCATGCTCTGCTCAGACTTGTGGCATTATGGGGTCACTCCTGCTTTACTTCCTCCATGTGCTGAGACTTCCCCACACCCATGGGCAGCAGTATTGCCACCATGTACACCATACACACTCTTTAGACACGGATGGCCTGATGTTCCTTTGCTTTCTGTAGAGAACATAAAGATGCACACAAGGGTGTGCATCTGGAATTGGGGCAAATTCCCAACATAGACAAGGCCAAAGATAAGGAGGAAAGTCAGCACTGTGCTGGGGAAGGGAGAGGAATCCCTAGTTCCTGATCTTGTTGCAGCTGCTTCTATACACAGGGACCAAAGAAGAGCTGGGTTAGACTTGCTATATCTGCTTCCCAATGAGAGTGAAGATACTATAGTACTTTCAGAGTCCATCATTACCGAGGCTGCTGGCAACCCATTACCACTGCAGGGCTGATGAGAACTCTTGCCACCACTCTCGGAGTAAAAGGGGTGGATCTTTTGCTCTGTATGCCTTTCCTTTTACAGTGAAACTCCACTTTAAAGTGCTTTTGTGTGTGGGGAGCGGGGGGAACCCAAACCTTTTTTGAGGGTTACACTGTGTAGAAACTTCATCCCCGTGCTGATGTCAGTCTGAATAAATACCTCCCTCATTAGATTAAACTAGTAGTCTTTGCAAAACCTCAGGCTAAGCGTTTGTGCAGACCACAAGGATCTGATGTTGGGAGGGGTGAGCTTGTAAAACTGATTGGGATGGAGTTCCAACAGGAAAATATGATGCAATGCAATTCAGCAATACACCACACAATGTGATCACTTTCCATTTAAGTATGTCTGTGCTGCATGTCCATAATTACTACACATTTGATTTATCTCTCAGTCTCTTTTTCTCATTTCTCTCTTTCTGTTTCTCAAACGGCTTCTTCATCTGCCTGGCTATTCATAGGTCTTGTTCTTGGTTTTTAGTAGCTAATTTACAGTGGCAAGATTTCACACCACCTCAACTCACAAATTTTGATTAAGGATGTGTGGTTTACAGACAAAAGAACAATCATGACCCCTCTCACCAATGAAAAATGACTGGGAAATTCTGCATGTGCTGTGTGTTTCTTCCTGTACTATATTGCCTCAAAAGAGTAACTGCCCTTTTGCACTGTGTGGAATCTCAATCGAGGTGCGTTAAAATAACTTTTTGCTGTAGTAAGCAGAGTTGTGACTTCAGGTGGAACATATGTTGGGCTCTTCACTTTGAACTCAACCTCTTGATGAAATTAACAATTCATATCTACTGGCTGGAGCATCCAAAAAGTCTTGCCTTTGAAATTATCTCCTTTCACAGGCCTGACGTGCTGCCTTTTGTCCATGTGACAGGTTTCCTGTTGAGACATCTGAGCAGAGGCAGAGGGGTTCCAATGTGTTTCGACAGAAGCACAGGTTTCAGAGTAACAGCCCTGTTAGTCTGTATTTGCAAAAAAAAAAAAAGGAGGACTTGTGGCAGACTAACCACTTTATTTGAGCATAAGCTTTCGTGAGCTTATGCTCAAATAAATTGGTTAGTCTCTAACGGAAGCACAGTTCCTTGCGGTTTGAGTCCTGGGGATTGAAGTCTATTTATGCACAGCAGAATCAGTAGCATAATGAACCCTGACCGCTGCCAAAGAACATCAACCTTGTCCATGGCCTGATGAGACTGATTTTATAGTTGAGAGGATAGTTCAATCTGCAGAGCTTATTATATCCTTGATCTCCCTGCCAACCTCAGTGCTACTTGTGGTGGATAGTTTCTGTCAAGTGGATATCTGTCCTCTAGGCACTGGACTGAGACAACTAACTCGCATCACATAGGCTACCAAAGTGCCATAATATGGTAGCAATTTTCAGTCACTACTCACCCGATATGACTCAGGACCAGCAACCAAGAGGTGCAAGGCTCTGGGCTAAATCCTGGCCCAGGCGCTGGCCCCTTTGCACTGCTTGCAGAGCAAAGCAGTGAGAAAGCTGACCTAAGAGGGTAATTGAGGTCTGGTATAGGAGACACTACAACTGTTCTTACATCAAATGAAGATTCCCCTACACCGAGGGAATCCCCCACCACGTGAAGAGCACAAAGCTCTGGAAATATGGGATATCCCGGCTCATGATCTGCAACTCATTTATGAGCAGTTTGTTGTGAGTATCTGATACTAAAAAGTCAAGCTATGTGCATCTGAACACCTAAGTTACGTGTTTCTGGTCCCTGACTGGCTGAATGGAATGCTTAAAATCAAGTTTCTGGTGCTTGCAGAAAGAATGAAATACTTGCTTTTTATAGATATTCTCTAGTATTTTCTTGAATTCTCTGTTTCTGAAAACCTGCTGGCCAGTGAGCTCATTGCTAGAACATTTGTGGAATGCAAATGCAAAAAGGGACACAGACACAACCAAAGAGATTTTGTGTAAAAAAAATCAAAATAATAATTGTGCATTATTTTTTGCAGCATTTGCTCTGCTTTTGTCCTTCATCAGCTGCAGGGGGCGCTAGTGAGTCCAGATGGAAAATGGGTGGAGGTGAGTGTGGGAGGTGCTGTGTATGATGAGTATAATCCTGGGTAGGGGGATATATAAGGAGATTGATGCCCAATTAAAGATATAAAGCAATTCAACAGGACAAACTCAGCTCTGAGCTCTGTTATCACTCTAATTTAAAATCCAGCTCTCCCACTACAATTTAGTGTCCCATTTGACCCATCCAGTGCAGAAACAGTAACTGTGCAGATGTGTACACTCTAATACACACACGCTGCGAAGGCTGCTGAACGAACAGAATGATGATTGCACAACTGGCAGGGCATGTAGGAATCCTGCGGAATATTTGCTATCCTGTACATGTTACTGAGGTGTTGGCTGTAACAATGTGGGGAAGGTTCCATAATTCCCAAGTACTGTGTTTCACCCTTTAGCTTTACTAAATTAGTGATTTAAAATATTTCTTATTAAAAAGCAGGTTATCTTCTCACAAACCTGCGATCCAAATTCTCCTCTCCATTATAGCCCCTTTATACCGCTCACGAGATGCAACTGGGCCAAGGCACGTCTGGAGCCATACTGCTGTGCTCCAGCAATTCTTAGCTGGGGATGGTTCCTTGGAGACCATTACCAGCTAGTGTAGTTTAGAGCCTCCCCCATGCTAGAGCTGGAGCTGCTCAGGGGAAAGTACTCATTGGGTAAATACTGCTCTCGAAGCAGTCTGATGGATTGTGATTCTGATGGTCTCTGCCTGTGTGGGCAGAGCCTGCTGGAGTTCTCAGATCAAATTGAAATCAACCATGCTTATCAGAAAGCATAGTTTTGCCTTTTTCTGAACTATTCTTGGAGTCCTTTCTGCTCTCCTGTTGCAGCAACCATTTGGAAAAAGCAAACGAATATGGCATATCGGAGTCCTTTAGACCAGGAGAGCCAATAGTTTCTTTAATATGGGTCTTCAGCATGTCCTTTAGCATAAACAGTTATGTTCAAGTGATTTCAAACAATGTCCAGAATCTCTTAAAAGTAAGACTTTGAATTCAATTTGCCTTAGCTGACAAAGTTTCCTGAACGTCGTTTTTTCCCCTTCTAGCAGTCCATTGTTGGTGAGAATTCTTTACTCCAACAGCTCAGACATGACACCTATTCATAGGGAGTGTTTGGAAAAATACACTCAGTGCAATAAAGTGCACCATACTTTATAACAGATCCCAGCAGACGAGAGAAGGAGTGATCAATACATGTCTATGATACTTAGATTTGCATGGTGCCTTGCATTCCAGAACGCTGGAATCCTCAACATCCCCATGAGACAGGTAAGTGTGATTGGGTTAGATTGTGAGCCCATTCTGAGCCAGGGTGGTCCCCTAGTGTAAGTTAGGGACAGCCTGCACTCTAAATTGCTCCAGCTGCCATTGGTTCCAAGAAGCCTGTGTGGTAGATGGGAATCAGCAGGCCCCAGAGACAACCTGGGCATGGCCCCTTTCTCCTGAATATGCCCCCTGTGCCAGCAATAGGAAAAGATGGAGGCATACAAACTAGGCTAGTGGAGAATTGGCTATGGCCAGTTGTGCTGGGCCTCGCTCACAATACTGGAAGATCTGGGCCATTGTCACTATGTCACAGACTGAGAAACTGATATTGAGAAAGATTAATTGACTTGCACAAGGCCACGCAGTATGTCAGAATCGAAAAGGGGCTAGAATGCAGCTACTCCTGGCTCGGAGTCCTATGCTTAGACCATTGGACCATGCTGCTTCCTCTGAATCAGTTCCCTGTAGGCAAAAGATCAAGTGATAATGAATAAAGAAGGCAAGAAGTAAACCCAGAGTTCCAAGCCTCAAAAATAAAAGTACCCAAGACAGCCACTGATTACAATAGGGTTCAATCTGGAGTACTGGAAGGAAAGTGGTTTAACTTTCCCTGGCCCCCCAAAATGGCTCCCCATGTACACAGCAGAAATCTTCTGTCATGCTTGTGTTAGAGCCCCCTTTCCCTCGCTCCCCCTTATGAACTCCCCACTCCTTCAGTGGTGTAGTATCATAAATTCAAAAGATCTCTGCCATTATCAAGCTTGTCATTAGTTTGTGGAAAGAGAAAAGGCGTACTTGTGGCACCTTAGAGACTAACAAATTTATTTGAGCATAAACTTTTGTGAGCTACAGCTCACTTCATTGGATGCATTCAGTGGAAACATTAGCATGTGGGTTTTCCCTAGTGCCTAACGGTTGCCAAACTACACCCAAGAAAATTGCAAAGTCTTGGGTTATGCCCCTTACAAAATCTGTGTGGGCTGCAGGCTTCATTTGAGAACCATTTCAATAACATTTTCAATAATTATGTTGATACAAAGTTAGATTTTTGTTAAAAAGATATTAAATTTTTACAAAAAATTGGCAACATTGTTGACTTTTCCTGTGAAAAATGTGTCTGTTCTTGAAACATTAAAAATTATAGAAAACATTGAAATGGGAATAGAAATATTTAGTTTACCAAAAATCAGGTTTTTGAAATTTTTTATTTATATCATTTTTTAAATCTATTTTTAAGAGGTCCATTTCAAATCTTCTGAAATGAAAAGAGCTTCAACATTCTGAAAATGTTCATGAAAATAGGTTTTTATATTTCAGTCAGCTCTAGTCCTTTGTAAGAATAATGGCTCAGATTCTATGGAACTGTGCCAATTCACTCTAGATTTGCCTTATTGTAGGTATATAATTTTATTATGTGGGTGATATAAAAGAAGTGGTATCCTTAACTTTTAATTTGCTTTCTTTTAAGTACTTGAGTTTTGCTAATGATGTGATAGATAAAGTGGATGAGGTAATATCTTTATTGGATCAGCTTCTGTTTGTGAAAGAGACACGCTTTTGAGCCCCAGTGTTGTGATTTAATCTTAACTGGTTTTGAAGTGTACTATACTTTTCCTTTTTTTGTGTTGAATACACCCAGGCCTCAGCAAAATAATGCTTTAAAAGTTCTTTTCCATATATGGGACTTCAGAACAATTCTGAGATCTCTGCTCCTGTTTTTGCAAAAGTATAAACATCTGCTGGTTTTTAGTCAAAATCTAAACATAAAGTGATAGGGTCTGATAGAATGAGAGAGTGAGACACAGTGAAGAATTTTTCACCATCTCTCAAACCTTCTTCAT